AACTGCATTCAGTTGTAAATCCTGTAGATTCCTGATGCTCTTTAATGTAACCCAACCATTTCTCTTTAGGTCCTGAAGGATATCTAGAGGCACAATAACATTGCATTTCTCTCCTCTTATTGGCAAAGGAACCATCACTGAAGTCCTCTTTATCTTTGCCAGGTTAGACCTGGTTTGGCATATTTCCTTTCAACCTTGCACTTCTCTAATTTCACTATTCCCCTCTTTCTGCTGAACTTCTGCACCTCCACCTGTGCTCAATTTGTCAAATTTCATGTATGAGGTTCATGGTGAATGGACTGTCTGCAGGTTTAAAATTCATATTTTTCAGGGAAAGTCAAATTCAGACATGTACTGTTTGAACAGTGTTACAATACTTAGCAGTGGAATGGGCTTGGAACGCTTAATGATTCTTCACATTTGGTCTTATCCTGGCCTTCCTTATTTCCTTTCAACTTTGTCTCTGTTCTGCTCTTGAATGCCTCTTCATGCCCTGCTGAACTTCAACCCAAGTACTTAATCCTTGTTTTACATAACCATCCATTGCCCATCCCTTTATACCTCTATTGCACAGATTTTTGCCTCCTTCATCGCTGAATGAAAATTGTGCTATCAGCATTTCTCAGGATGCATATCAGGATAAGACAGGTGATATTTTTTAATGCCAGTCCTTACATTCACAGGGGAAGAGGGTGGTCAAAGAGAGGAAGACAATTGTCGCAGAATACTGTGGCTACTGGGATAAGAGAGATGAGGAGCAAAAAATAATAATGCAAGTCAATCATTGTTAGGGACAGCTAACCTTTGACAGTATAACAACTGTTCCGGTGTCTCAGAACAGTAGTTCAGAGCCTGACATGATCAGGGCACCTCCAGCTACATGGAATCACTGACAGGACTTCAATTAACTTGAAGTGAAAGTCAACTGCTTTCCTGATGGGCTGTTTTTGGTATCACAATATTGGCAGTTATGTCATTCCAATAGATGCCCATTGCAAATGGAATCAGAACATAGTTCAGCAGATCTGGTTCATATCCCTCTCGGTGGGCATACGGCACAGGTGACAGTGGTTCGAGGTGGCAAATAGTGCGTGGCCAGGATCCCCTTGCAATCGAAGAAAACGAGTGCCATGATTTTATCTGCAGCTCTGGCCACTCGGAACTTCTTGGGCGGTGGTGAAGCTGATTAAGATAGACACTCATCGCTATTGGCCTGCTCCACCTCCGTTTAGGTGTCCTCGCCCGTGAAACTCCACAGCACGCAGAAACGAATGGCGCAGCACTGCTCAATGTCCGTCTATCACTCTCATAACGACGGCGACCCCAAGACAGATCCAACCGAGACACGCACCAATCACGACTGCTACACAGACTAGGAAAACTCTCGCGAACCTGCGAACGAGGTTCGCGGGAACGGAGACGCACGGGCGGCCCGCTTACATATCCTTCCCGGGAAATTCCAATTTGTCGCCTCAGGTTCGCGGGGAAAAAAAAAAAGTCCTACACTGCTGCTGCAGTGTACGCGCAACCCCCACAGTACAGTATCCCATGTAGGAAATTACCGTTTCTCCAGGATTCGATCACGTTGCTCCAGGAAGCGGTACAGCTGCCTTTTTTTAAAAAATCATTTAAAACAGCCCTTGTGTATTAAAAAGAAAAGTTTTCTTGTGCGTGTTCGTTCTTGAGTCTGACGCGGTCCGTGATGCGAATATGCGAAACACTTGGTTAGGATTCCTTCCCCTCGACACCACCTCAAAAACGCATGGAACCGAGAGTGATGCTTCCATCATTCTCCATTTTCACTAGCTTGACACGATATTCGGGACGAAGCGCTTTACCGGAAGAATAGCCTTTACTCTTATATGGAAAGGAGTGGACGATGGGAAGATACTGGAATATGCACTGACAATGCGTCCCTCTGAACATTCACCTGGGTTCGACGGGAAGGCAAAGAGACAGACTCAAAGCTAACCCCATCGCGCCTCCCCTTTCTCCCTGGAATCTTTCAAGCAATAACGGGAACTTGTCTACAACCCATTAATTGTCTGCCGTCAGATTGTCTACCTGTGGTAGTTTTTCTTTTTCAATTTCTATAAATAGAGCTCCATCCAATGTCATACGATCCACATGGATAAGGAAGGTTTCGGCCATGCTAAAAAATTCACCCAGTGCTAATTCAATACATATTTTTAAGTTGAAATGCCAATTTCATAGACGTACAAATGTACACGTCATTTGGAAAAGTCGGTTCATTGAGTAAAAACCTACTACTAACGTGTGGAGTCCTCCTCGTGCCCATGGATGAGCAGAGGGGAAGAGTCCCCGAGTTACTACGCCGAGTAGTAATAGCGGACCTCCTCTCGCCCCTTCACGCCCTCACCTCTGCCCTACGCAGCAGTCCGCCTTGAACCTCCGGCCAGACAGCACGCAGCAGTCCGTCTTGAACCGCCGGCCGGACAGCACGTGCGAGTCCGTCACGAACCCTCGGCCGGACAACACGTGGGCGCGTGAGTGCGCCAGGACCCTTCGGCCGGACGACACGTGGCGTGTCGAGAGACTTCGCTTCTCCCTCGCTANATTTACCATCTATAAGAACACGCAACCTTCTTGATTACCATCCGACCACATTGGGTCTGATCCCCATATGTAGCGAGGCATTCGTGCCCCATATCTTGTGACCCCCTGGGGTTCGCTACAAACGGTGCACGGGACGCAACGTTAGTCTGGTGAATACGTGCAGGACCACTCGAGGCTGCACGGCGAGCTCAGTGGAAGATTTCTTTGAGATCAGCAAACCTACGCACTTGAAAGCTTGGTGCGAAATGTAGTAAATCTTTGCATGTTCTGATGAGCCTCATAATTTCTTAAAATTTGAATTCAGTTCATCAAGCTGGGAGAAAATGCTATGTGTAGTAGATTGAGGACATTTGTCTTCTTCCTTCCAAGATGGAATTCATTCCATTTCTCAAACAGCATTGAGTATAGAGAGAGAGAAGGTAACTGCATGTGGAGTGAGGTGCTGGGTTGCAGAAGAAAGATAAGATACCCAGCTACCCTTCAATTGAGAAACATTTTATCTGTGGAATACATTGTTGTGAAGGATAACACGGAATACTCTATGGCTATGCGAGTCAGACATGGAATGTCAGGAATTTTTGTCGTGGAAGCATTCTGCCAGGTTCCCATGGTAGCTAACTCACCGTTGAAAAATCAAAATAAATTAATAATTTTTGGCCTACCCACCAATCAAATTGTAGCTGGCATTCTCAACCTGCTGGAGCCTGCCATTGCCAGTGAGAGCCTGTCTCTTTCAGTGGCCATTTCCACATGACATTTCCTGAGGCTATTGACTTCCTAAACATATATTTTCAAACTACAAATGATATGTCAAGAAAGATTAAGATGTTTCCTTGTAAAATTTTTAAACCTACATGTAAGCTGGCGCTGGAGTGATTCCACAAGAAAATTTTTCTGCTGTGCCATCCTATACTGTATAGGATGGTAATGATAGATGCACCCCACATCCTGGTCAGCAGAGATTTGGCAAAGTACCAGATACTTAGCCTAATTTAATAGCTCATTCTGGAGTATTTTTTTTCCTTCAGTTTCAGATTTTCCTGATATTTCAATTTGGCTTGATTAAAGTTTGAGGACTCCACCACATAAACCACATTCAAACTATCACTTTTCAGGAGGTTCATTATGCTGAGCCTCTTCCTCAGAAAACCATACCTCTTGATAATTCAATGTATAACAAGCCATAATGAAATATCAGAAACTCTGAAACATAGAAAAGAAGTAAAATGAAAGGGCTATCCCACACAGCACAGGTATATCCCAGAGATATCCCCCTGGGACAAGTGCGATATCCCAGAGACAAGGAGTAGGGACTTCTTAGGGATATCAAAATGTCTGGGCCCAATGACAACCCAAGGATGTCCCTTTCTTGAAGAAATAGCACAACCCAGAGATGTCCCAGGGATATCCCCTTGGGGCAAGTCCCAGACGTTACTTGTGGGGACATCTCAGGGATATCACAATGTCAGGTGAAGACATCCCAAGGATGTCTCTTTCTTGCAGCACAAGTATATCCAAAGGATGTCCCAGAGATATCCCATTGGGACAAGTGAGAAGTCCCAGGTAGTACATGTAGGGGCCTTCCTATCTGCAATGAACTCATTTCCTATTGCACAGGAGAACCCTTTGCTTTTGTAGATGTTCCTATTTTATCTAGGAACACCTAATCTAAAGTTCTTGATTGATTGAAGAGTGACGATTAAGGGGAAGGAAAATACCGCTCTTAAAGGGGGCCCCATCATAGGAGACACATCTCCACGGGACGAAATTGAGCACTTTTACACGAGGGGTCTTGAATTATATGATGTAGTCTCATGTCTTTCAAACAGTAGTGGGCTCAGACCTCCAACAAGTATAGTTGTATCCAGACATGCCAATCAGACATCATTAATGAGAATATAAAGGAATAAATTCAAATTTGGACCAAAGTTTTCCTAATGTATAGTACAAAAATCCTTACTTGTCTTCAGGACAAATCAAGTAGATGAATTTGATGGAAAATATCTGAGGTTGTAGATCAAGGCTCACAGGAGACATCTACTGTCGAAGCTATGCACCTGACTGAAGGCAACAGAGAGCGCTGAAGATGCCTAAAGACATCCTTCTCAAGATATTGAAAAGTGTTCGACTGAAGATGTCTTCAAGATATCCCCTCCAGCATATCCAGAAGCATTCGACTAAGGATGTCTTAAAGATATCCTGAAAGGGATATCTCTAAGATATCAACTGAAGATGTCTAAAAGACGTCCCAAAGACATCCCTTATGGTATGTCCGAAAGATGTCTTCAGGATATCCTATAAAGACATGGGGACAAGTCATCCAGTTAGGGACATCCCTGTGCTGTGAGGGATGGGAATAAGCTAGTGATTACCTTGTGGTTTGGCACATCTCTGCTTGCAAAGAGGAATGTATTTTTGATACCCCGTATACACCTCAACCAAACCAGTTGCTGTCAATTTGAAATATAATAGTGGTGAGCAAGTTTCCTGAAACAAGTTTTAATCCAAACCAAACCACAACTAATACAACAGGAAATATGCACATGCATTTAGCTCACTTGTGATACTGCTCAATATCCTGGGCCCATACATAGCTCTTTTGTCATGACACTGCATTAAAGTAGAATGAAATTTAGCCATATTCCAGATCAAGCATGAGATTTAAAGTGAATTAAGGTTGTGGAATCCATTTTATTGCACTGACATTCCTTGCAAAGAAAAGAACTTCAATGAAACAGGAACTTCACAGCAAGCTTGGAGAATTCACCAAAATAAAATTGCATGCACAATTTTAGAAAAATCCCTACAAAACTAAGATGGCAGTTCAACATGTGGGTAGACATTCCTCACTTGAAGTGGCCAAGTAGGCAATTAACATTCCTCCAGGGAAGTGGCACTTAGATCAAAACTAAAAGCCACATATAATCAACTAACACATTCAGATGGTGCAATGCTACCTTATTCAGGTCGATGGTGATTTTTCCAAAAGAGTTACAATCATATTATGAGGGGGAAGGAGGGAGATCCTAAAGCTGACTAGGACATTCATATTCATGAGTACACTGGTCCAGATCTGTGAGAAGATAGGTGTGACTTGAACTTTATTTTGCCTTTCCTTGCGCAGCAACAGCTTCCATAGCCTTGCGCACTGTCTCCTCATCCCCAAGGAATTGCATGGATTTCAGTGGATGCATGTTTTCATCAAGTTCATAGACGAATGGGATCCCCGTCGGAAGATTCAGTTGCATGATGGCTTCATCCGTCATCTCTGCAAGAGATCAGCACTTGTAAACATCATAACACATTTTCCATTTCATATGGGAACATTAGGTTATGTAGCAAGTTAAAAAATTCTTATACTGGGTGGCAGAAAATAGTTAAATTAGTTTTTGTCAGATTTTCTATTTCTAAGGTAAGTAAGGATAAACATAACATACTCATATCAAATATAATACAAAAATTTCCTATTCCATTGAAATTAATTTAATCAATATCAATGTCAGTGGTAGCAGTTAATGTTATAAGAAAGCAGGGCAAAATATATTGCTCCCAGATGAACTGTGAATTCCAGGTAAGCAGAAACAAGATAGAAAAACAAAAACAGTCTGCTTAAACAAACTATTTTTAATAGTTATTAATATCACCTTGAACAAGGCAGTGATGTTACAAATCTATCATCAGAATTTTGTTCAAGCTGAAGAGATTTCACAAATGTCAACCAAGATTTTGGAACTGCCGAATCATTTTCTTCAAATCATTACATTTTTTCCATAAAATAGTATTTTGAATATCTCTTGATCATTGTCAAGTAAGACCATGGTGAATTTGGGAAGTAAAAATAAAAAATTAGGAAATTCATTTAAGGTGTAGCATGTCATTTCATATGCCCAGGAAGCAGCTAGATTAAGGGCATACACATAGCTAGAGGTTAAAAAAATCTTGCAGAAAAAAATGCAAATTTTCACATCACTTTCATAAATTATCTGCTCCTGGATCATACGGTTGATTTTGGTGAAATGAATCTTAATGGAATAGGAAGGAGATTTATAATATATGATGTGAGTATGAAATTATTATGATAATATACTTGGAAATGTCAAACAGGTGACTTTTTCTAGAAGTCACCCTGCAGAATGGAATAGTAGAATGCACACATTTTCACAAGAGCATATTCTGATTGGAACCCAAAACATACGATCCAAGTGTTTCACAATGCCACGGAGGCTGTTCCCATGGGCAGCAACGAGCATCATCTTTCCTTGTTTGATCTGTGGTACAATGACATCATTCCAATATGGCAAGGTCCTTTCAATAGTGAGCTTGAGAGATTCAAACATGGGGAATTCAGCAATTGAAGGGCCATCCTTGTAGCGGGGATCTTCCACAATGATTTTATAGTATGGGTGAGATTCTTCCATTGGTGGAGGTGGAATGTCAAAACTCCTCCTCCAGATTTTCACCTAAAAAACAATCATAATGTTATTACCAATTGTCAAGAAATGAATGGTGGCCAGAAAGTTTTTCCCACTTTCCAGCCATTTGCACATTACCAAAAAATTATGAGCATGTGAATATTTGACATTTTGAAAATTCTGTGTTCACAGGAACATATTCAACTTCAAAACTGTGTAATATGAACTTACCTGCTTCACACTTCCTTTCCTATGCTATAAAAAGAACATTAATTTCCATTTCCACAGTTGACTGCATAAAGTAAAACTAACTGCAAAAATTGCTACTTCATGAAGTAATGCAATGGGGTCAATGACACTAGAAGCTCAGAAGACAACACTTAAAAGTGTATTTAAGTGTCATCTAGGAAAAAAATGTATAACCAGTAGATCATAGCTTTTTAAATTTCTTTGCATAGTATGCAAGTTGGAAGAAACTTTCCAGCCACACTGTAGTATTGTTGCTAGGTATCAGAAGTCACCATTCCTCTTGAAATTGATAAATCAATAGAGGCCAACAAGAAGAGTTTAATCTTAGCTTTTTTAGGCTTCCCCCTTATTTTACATTGGAAGAGGGAACAGGTGGTCTAACTGCTCTGCAGGGACTGGAGCCCCAGTCCATTTATACTTTTTGGATAATTGCTCATAGCCTCAATTCAGGACAAAAAACTCACTTGAAACACTAAAAAGGGTGTTGAATACATATCAGTCCAGGCAGAGTGCAAGCTTCACAAAAATGACTGTAGTAAGAGTAGAGATATATTGGTTATGCATTGAGCTTTATTTTCTTTTGCCCCACTCTATAAATTTAAAAAATTAAAAATGGGAAAGGGGTTTATAATAGGGCAGTTTCAAGGTACAACAGGACAGGAATAAAATGCTTTCCACTGGAGAGAATAGCAAACACAGCCTATTGTATCCCTTTATCAAGGACATTTTTCATTTGATGCTTTGACAGTTGTGCATACTCCCCCTGGATTTGCAGACTACATGGAAAATACTCCCTTATTAAAGTGTTAAGTAATCAACTTACTCCTGGACCCAGAAAGCAAAAATTACTTCCAACGGGACAAACTATGCCATGTGTCCTGCATTAATTGTTAGTTGATGTTGGAATTCTATTATCACAGTATCTTTTAAGTCTTCACTACTCAGGTCTTTTGCCTGAAATAAAAGTTTTAATTTTTGCAGAAAATGCATGAATGAACAAATTTAACTAAAAAAAACCCATTGTCATTAAGGACATCTTCATTCTGATGTCACAGGGCATATGACTCACTTGTTCTTCTCCATGCTTTGCAGCAGTTTCTGCTTTGTTCAAGCCAGTTAAAGCTCCATAGTGTCTCTCATTAAGCCGCCATGTCTTCTCAACAGGGATGTTGGTCTGGGCAATCTCTTCGAGAATCACATCCAAAGTGTTTTGGGCTCTCTTAAGCACTGAGGTATGAGCAAGGTCAAATTTGTAACCTGCTTCTTTCAGGGCCTTCCCAGCAGCATGTGCCTCTTGCACTCCTGGGAGAACAGCATCAAAATGAATAGAAGACATGCATCAATGAAGCTGAGGGATAGAGAAAACTGAAAATTTGTAGCTATCCATGGAACCACATATTTCCTTCACAAGAGAAACATTCTCACAAAATTTTTCATTGTTTCTTTTAGCCTAATGGCAAGGGAAGGCAGCTGAGTATATAATCCACCTTTCTCTTGGGCTACCTAGTACTTACTCATGTTATTCTGAATACTTTTCTGACTAAAGACACAATCATATATACACAGGAGAGTCAAATTCAAATGAACATGGAACTTTTTCAGAAAACATGAGAAATGTCAACATTAAAGTTAAATGGACCATACACATTAAAAATAAATATCTCACTGATTACTGCAATTTATCACAATTAATTAAAGCTTTATTTTCCAGGAATAGTCCAATTCCAAAGCCATGGAGGAATGCTTGAAAATTAAGTATTAATAACAAATGAATTCATTGAAATTAAAAATATCAGATGCATAAATATGAAACAGAATTGATCAATTGAAGGGAGATACATGACAAATGAAACTAAGCAATTCTATGAACCTGCAAGTTTTTTACATTTCAACCTTTACCATTAATAGCTTTGAAAATTAAACAACACTCACAATTGTATCTAAATATATTAAGGCAACATGGGAGAGTTGCATGAATGGGACCTAATGTCAATTCAAGAAATATGATCAACTAAGAATAGGTATAATTATGCATTCCTACTTAATACATTTGCTTTGAGCACCTAAAGCTCCTGGCCAGTTTCACAGGCATAAAAAGAAAAAAATCGTTATTGGCAGCATCTGGAACCACAAAGGATGTGAAAAAAAAAACAATAAAAGAACACCTGCTGGCCAGTGCAGCTGATACTTGAACTATATTGTATCACCTCAATGTTGATTAAATTCTGATTTTTTTCAACAATTTACGCTTGTTTACTGTAAGTTGTTGTTTATATAAGTGAATGTGTTTAACAAAAAGGTCAAATGTCATCAACGATACAAAACAATAAACCTAAACTTAAAATTCAGCCTGGATAATGTCAATATCTCTACTTCCATAATGACCAATAAATTTACCTTTTTCACTAAGATCAGCATCGAACCAGCCACAGAACCTATTCTCCTGATTCCAAGTGCTCTCTCCATGTCTGACCATCACAATCTTGTGCACCATTGTGGCAGCTCCCAAGGAATTGCGCCTGAAGAAAGATTATTGCAAACATGCTCATCAGAATCTCTATAAAATTGAACCTAGGGCTAGCTTAAGATGCTAACACTTAGGCTTAATGTTACGCTAACCCCTTAAGATAGCCTACCAAGAGGCAAAAACTTTGGTTATTTCAGTTTAATAACTAATACAAGCAAACGCTCTCTACTTCTACTGCTACTACTACACAACTCTCTTGAATTCTGATTCTAAATCACAACATAAAAAGTGACCTTCACCGTGCCGTACAGGGAGACGGAAGGACACCAGGGCAAAGAGATCATGCACCGGAGTGGATGTATGCGGGTAAAGAGAAAGCGTCTGCTACAAGGATCATGCGCTGTCGAGCGCACATAGCGACATCTAGAATGGGAGAAGCGAAATGCCTCATTGCCATTGAAAGCAATCTCAAGCTAAGCCAAACCTTTCAAGCTGGACGGACTGCAGTTCACAGGTCGTTATTTGAGCGGGAAGGACAATGATTTCATACAATTAGTGACTGCAGACATCAGTTCATTCATAGCGCAAAATGACTCCTGCAGGTACGTTATCAAACAGAAATGCGTTAAGACCTATAAGTTAGGCCTATGACCAGCGATGCAAGTCGACATGTAGGAATATAGGAGCAGTAGAAAGAGTGAATGGTTGAATCCCCACCCCTGCAGACATTAACAGCAGGATCCCTCAAAGTAGAAAATTTAATTTCCTGCAGGAAGTATGGGAATGGTACTTCCACTCCCTCTTGGAAAGCTTGCGGGAATTAAAGTTACTCAAGTTGCTAGCCCCCACTGGGGTTGTTTTGATTTTTTTTTTTGTGTTACTGCCTCTGACATAGGGAGGCCTGTAATGGCCAAGCAGTGATTCCAGGCAGTTTGAGCATAATTTTAGTCTCAGTCTAGTTTAAGTCCAGTTTCAATTCATCTCCAGTTATTGGAAGCCCATTTTACTTAAGAATTTACTTTGATATGATACCAAAATTGGAATTGTATTCAGTAATACTGATCATTCATGGAAAAGTTTGAAAAAATGTGCTGAATTAATTACTAGATATGAAGGACACTGAAATATCGTGTAATTTCTTAAGAAAAATGAAATTTGACTCCACTTCAAATCAGGGTTGGCATGATGGGAGTTCTCAATATTTGCTTCATTATAATATATATATTGTCTTGTTTGTTGCTCAAGTGTATTTCAGCCCAATTATTGAATAACATTCTAATATATGCAGAGGATTACTTTTTTTGGGGGAGGGGGGGGAGGTGTTTCTTGTGGAGTGAAAATTGAGGCAACCAGGAAGTATTTCTAATAACCATACTTAGCTTGCTTGGTGCAAATGGTGACCACCTTTCATGATCCTAGAGTATCATCCTAAAGTATTTGTTTTGGAGTGTCCCTGAAAATCAGAAGGGCCCAGGTCTGAGCAGATCTGGAATTTATTATTGTGAAAATAATTAGGCCTTTTTCTTTTTTTTTTCAGAGTTTTGGTGTTTCCTCCTGTGGATAATTTCCATAGGTTCCTGATACATAAAGTGGCTGAGTATGATTTTCCTGATGTTTTCTCTTTTTCAATTGGTGCTGAAGAGTCTCGCAGGCTTGTTGTTGCCTTTGAGAGTACAGTCTTGAGGTCAGTATAACCAAAAATTATGTTGTCATACTTTAAGGTTAAACTAAGTAGTTTTTCAGCAGAATCAGATAGTCAAGCTTGTCGAGAAGAACTATTGGCTTCTTAATGCTTGTTTTCTCCAAATCCAGTTAGAATTTTGCTTGTAGTGTGCTTCATGATCTTTCAGAAGTTTCTTTCCAAATTATCTGTTCTAATGCTCTTTTTTCCCTTCCATGTTTTGACAGACAACTGAGAAAATCGGATTTGCAGTCCTCAGAATTGTTACAAGGATTGAGAGAGAAGCTGGCTGATAAATTGGGTTCACAGGATAAGGCAGATGATAGGGAGAGGAAAGGTGAGTTGCATCCTGCATTGCACAATCTGTCACCTTTTGATTTGTTTTAAAATAAATCAACTCCTGAAACTATTATTGTCTAACATAAGATTCTTAATTCCAGGGAGGAATGCCTGTGGCATATATCGTCCCCCCAGAGCCAGGTTATCACAAAAACAGAGCCCATCTCCTTCAAACAGCACTGAAGACAAGAGAGAAGATTTTGTTGGAATGGAAAAGCTTGAAAAACCACACAGGTTGGAAAGTGCAAACTATTGTATTTCACTTGTATTATTTCTTTGATTCTTTCTTTACTTAGCCTGTAACTCTCAGTGCTGTTTATTTCACCAGAAAATTATTTCCTAGGAAGAAGCGGCCAGACATTCAGGTATATGTTCCAAGGGCAAGAAGATTGCAAGAAGCTCAGAAAAATGAAGTATCACCTGAGTGTAAGCCCCTGCAAAAAGAAACTAACATTGATAGCAGTGTGAAACAAATTGATATTGATCAGTTTCAAACAGATGCCAACAGTGACCTTATCCGTGAAAACAAGAGAGAGACAAAGTCTTTGAAAGTGCGAAGAAGGAAGTCTCCTGGAGAAAGCTCATCTCCTTTGAGGCTTAAGTCACCTAGAACACCAATGAGAAGGAACAAAGAAGTACAATTTGGATCTTGTGATGTGGGAGACAATGATGGTGCATGTAACAAGTCTTCTGAACAGAATGTGAAATCAGAAACTACTGTTGTAAAACAGGAACCATGTGCACAAGCAAGGGATTCCTCTTTGCTTGTGGATCAGAGAGACTCTACCTGCTCCTCTGAGAAGATGCAGGCTGATGACAAAGATGTGCCTTTGTTGGAACTTGAGTCAAAATCAGAACTGGATTGTGGTAGTGAAGAAAGGACTGTTTGCAATGGATCAGACCACTTTATTGCTACTCCTGTGATGGATATTGATATGGCTGATAACAGACAGCAGATGGAAGTCCCTACTGATGAGTGCAATCTTTTTGAGAAACAACAACCTGTATCAGCTGTAGATGATGAAGCAGGTTCTATTCCTAAACCCAGGCTTCATCCCCCCAGTCCAAAGGAAGAGAAAAGGGAAAAGCCAGAAGACTCGGAGAATGAGGATCCAGACTCTTGGGAGAAACTTTTTGATGACTCTGGAGACTGCTTGAACCCTGCCTTGCTTGAACAGGTGACTCTTTCTCCCATTGGAGTCTAATGCCTCTGCCTTTACAGGTTCAATGTTTCTCACTGGCTGTTAATTTTAGCTCACCCTTGCAGTTGGAGATGTAGAAATTGACGCACCAAAATTTGACTACTACGAGTATGAAGCCAAGGACCCAACATTCCTGGAGGATGACCTGAGCCATGTTCTTGAAATTTATCAGTTTCCTGCTGAATTTCGAACAGAAGATCTGATCTCTGCTTTCTCCAGCCTCAATAATCAAGGCTTTAATGTGAAGTGGGTTGATGACACCCATGCTTTGGGGATTTTTGACAACCCTGTTAAAGGTGAGTATATTACAAGTCATATTAGCCTGTGCTTAATGGACTGATAATCATGTCCAATATGAAATGAAAGCTTAAAATGCTGCCAATTGACTAAATAGCAGTATAAAAGAGCTTGCTTATGAGGAACCCTGACACAAGAAACACTTGATTTTTTTTATATCTTACATAATTCTATACATTTGTGTTTTATATATTATTCCATATATATTCGTTGCAGCTGAATATCCAGTTTTTGGAGGCACAAGGTCCATGCAGGATGTCACAATATTGAAGCAGATATATTAATATTTTGTCATGAATGGCTTGTAGCAGTGGCAGATGTCTGTAGTTCTTTTATGGAGTGTTGCAAACCAACGTGGAGAGGGAAAGTGAAGTTATCCACAAATACATAACTCTTGCATAAGGCATGTTAATGTTATACTCTACTGACCAGGTGTAAGAGGCTTCCATGAGATCCCATGATAACTCACTTTTTTTTTTTATATGTAAGGGCAATGTTTTTCAACTGATATACTTTGGCACAGTGGTCCATCATCAGCAAAGATTGGGTGTGCTTGAAGGTTTAAGCTTAGTGAGGTGGGAAATGTCAAGAAGAAAAAAATTTTTCCCCATTTCATTAGCCAGAAACTATAGAACAGTATCCAGCCCATACCACAAAATTTCCACTCAGCAATTCCCCATTCCTCTCTGCACCTCTGAGCAGCATTAAAAGAAAATTTTAAGAAATTAAAAGTGTGATACCATTGAAGAAAGGCATTTGAAGAGTGCTACAGGTCAAAAAGTTTAGGAACCATTGACTCAGTTGTTAGTGCTCTTCCCTTGCAGCCAAAGATCTGGTCTGGTCCATTATGCTTTTTTTTTTTTGAGGTAGTAAAGTTAGAATAAAGCAAACTAATTCCTAAAAATTTTCCAAGGTATGATGGAAGTTTATTATTGACTGAGCTAATTGTAATGAGACACCACTAGACAAGTATGTACTTCCTTTAATTAGATCTACGGGTTTTATTTGAAATTTCTATTGAATTTAATCTGTTTTCATATTGCTTGAATTTACACCTTGTCCTCATTCAGAACATTCATATGGAAAGTGTAAATCATGGAAGTGGTCCAAGTTTCTTGTCTCTCTTTGCAGCAACAGAGGCCTTAGCAGTCCAGCATCCCCTGATGAAAGTTCGTCCCTTGTCCAAAGCTACTCAGGCTGCAAAAAACAAAGCCAAGAAATTGGCACCATTCTTGCAAGTGAGCAATTTCTCATTCACTCCTGGCTTCTTTTTTATATGAATGAGTGGATTTCACTGCCTGAGCCTACTTCCTTTATTGGCATAAGGTATGAGAGGCTAAATGGCCCGTTATTGTATGTTACCCTGTCCAAGAATCATATTACTTTCATGGTTTTTTCACATACTATCTGGCCTGTTGAAGGATTCTGGGACTCAATATTCCTGTCATGTGAGAAATAAAGAAAGCCTAGAGATATGCCTACCTTTTGAGTGAAAATATATCTCTCCCCACTCATCATTCATATTTTCATCCTCGGATTATCTGGAGCTGTTTTCTCTCCAGCCCATGAAACCCCGTCCACAAACTTCTGCTGCCTTAGCTAGACGCCTTGTTGGAGGGGCCCTGGGAGTCCGTATTCCAGTACCAAAGCAACTTCAAGACCAGGAAAGAAAACAGCTCATTGAAGCCAAAGGTAACCAATAGGCATTTATAGCTCATTCAATGATTAATTGCCTTCAATTCGATGTTGTAACTGCATGGCTTCTTTTTTCAGAGAGGAAGAAACAGGCTGCAAGACAGCGGGAAGATGCATGGGAGGGAAGGGTATAACTGCATGACATATACCTGCAATATCAGGAAGTAGGACTCTGACCTCATTTAAAATGTTGCACTTGTTTCCAAATGTGGTATTTTGGTGATTTAATATATTATAAATAATGACAAGATCTCTGGGTAGGGAACATGTGATAAATTGAAGAGAACCTGCTAGCTTTCATGTCCTGTTCCCTCCTTTAATGGGTTTAACACAAAGTTTATCTGTCCAAACAAGAGCTTGGGGAAACCATCACTGCTCCTGAAGACTTGGAAATTATTTTCACATATCGAGTGGACTAGGACAGGAAATGCTCAGCGGGATGTCAGCAAAAGTAGTTTCTTTGGGTGAATTTATTTTGTATTAATATTTTTTGCATTTCATCATGGTGAGGTCACTTGGATTTTTAATGCTCATACCAATCATGTTGATGTCGATTTAAACAGACAGAAATCTCGTTTGGGCAGATAAACAATGCAGGTATATGATTTGTTATTGACAGACATGGAAGTTGTGTGAAAATACAGGTTTTTATTTTGAAATGTTGCACTTATTTCATTTTTCTCTTGCTTCTCGTGGCTTTCATAGAACAAGAAAATTCTCACCAACCAATCAATAGAAGCAAGGGACTTGGTCAAGCTAAGCCAATGGACAGGAAGGCTATGAGAAATGAGAGAGAAGCACACCTATCATGAGGTCTCTAGGTTTTTCCTCCTTCCACACAGCACAATCTTACTACTGATCCCACTTCCTTTCCAATGGTTTTTTTTTTATTGGTTAACCTCTGACTTGTCATTACTGATGAAAGTAATTTATTTCTACAAAATATTATGGTAGATCTACTGAAATAATTGGAAAAAACTTTGTACTTCCCTAAGTCTAGATGAATTCGGAGTTGCAGTAGGAAGAACTGAGGTGCCGGTGAAATAATGTTGAAAAGCATACAGAAGCATGCTCTGCAGGAAACCCCCTTGTCAGTAACCATCAGCCAGAGCTCTATATTCTCTTCCTTGTAAGGATGGACACATGCTGTTATGAATCTACCAAATTGTGCAGCCTCCCAGTTCTCCATCTTGTGTTCCATTTTCCTCTTCCCATCAATGGCCTCTAAGTCATATATTGGGTAATTCAAGAAAGAGTCTCTTTCAATGACTTTTCTAATAAACAGAAATTCTTTTTGCGATTCAGGTGTTTGTAATCCAGAGTGGCATGAATTGGGGCTTTGCAAATGAAATGCCCAGTGGAAAGCAATTTTGCATACCCCTACATTCACAAATGCATGTTTTTAAACTGGCACCTGAATAATATCTCTACTCTTAGCCAGGAGCATGAAATCTTTGGAAGTGGTTTTAAAAATGTCAGAAATACAAAGTCATTAAAGTTTGAGGCATATGACAATATACAGGGTGGGTAAAAAAAAACCGGTCCTCTACTTTGAAACCTTATATCTCGGTCCCAAATTGAGCTAGAATAATGTAACAAAAATGAAATGAAAGTTCATTTAATTCGCTTTCCAATGATATCAGTTGCAATTCAGTTCCGCCGAAAAACACGGGAGATAAATTGATTTGAAAAAAACTTTCCGCTGAAAAAAGTTGAAAATCACGCTTTTTGGCTCAATATGGCCACCTTTCTGCCGAATAACTGCCTTCAATCTCCCTTTCCACTTGAGGATGGCAGTGGCAATTGAGCCCTGTGAAAGTTCGGATTCGTTCCTTCAGTTCAGCGACACACCGGATTTTTTGCCCGCGATACACTTTCTCTTCCAACGCGGACCAAACAAAATAATCGACTGGGTTTAAGTCAGGGCTATTGGGCGGCCAATTTTCAGGTTCGATGAAATCAGGACAGTTTTCACGAAGCCACTGAATTGTTGCCAGAGCGGTATGGGGTAAAAGAGAAAGTGTATCGCGGGCAAAAAATCCGGTGTGTCGCTGAACTGAAGGAACGAATCCGAACTTTCACAGGGCTCAATTGTCACTGCCATCCTCAAGTGGAAAGGGAGATTGAAGGCAGTTATTCGGCAGAAAGGTGGCCATATTGAGCCAAAAAGCGTGATTTTCAACTTTTTTCAGCGGAAAGTTTTTTTCAAATCAATTTATCTCCCGTGTTTTTCGGCGGAACTGAATTGCAACTGATATCATTGGAAAGCGAATTAAATGAACTTTCATTTCATTTTTGTTACATTATTCTAGCTCAATTTGGGACCGAGATATAAGGTTTCAAAGTAGAGGACCGGTTTTTTTTTACCCACCCTGTATGTAAGTGATGCCATGCTGTAAAATAGGCAATTAAAAGAAAGTCATGTTCTTAATTCATCAGCAGAGCGCCACGCTGAAAGGGATAGGGAAAAGTCTAAATAAACAAAGGGCATGAACACAAATTTAGGTTCTGCAAAGCAGTTGGCTTGCCAAAAGCCATGATGTATTTACCTTACAAACAAAAGTGTGTTACTGTTCATAAGTGCAAATTTTGCATGAAGTTAACAAGCTCAAGGTTTTCTCTCATGTTGCTTTTGCAACCAAAGTATTTTTATGTAATTCATGCCGTTTTCTCTCCTCCCCATACAGATGCAGTCAATCACGCTACCATGAACCTAAGTACTCGCAGATGAAAAAGAAGTTGAAAATAGAAAGCTTTTTATTACTAAAACACTTCCTTGCAGATAAACTTGACGAAAATGGGGGCCATGGACGTCGGACAAGGGTCTGCTTAGTGGATACCGCAGAATTGCGTGTATTTAAGGTGCAAAAATGGAAGAAACTTCTGACTGCCCATGAGCAAAAACAACTGAACCAATTTCATTCAGTGAGGCACTGATGGACTTCATTCCCAGTGTTGCTGCACTTGTGTCATGGACTTTCAACTTCAAGCAAATAGAGCAGAGTGAATCGAGCCTTGGAAAAATACGGTTTCCAGTTAAAACTGCTCCTATTTTATCGTACTTTTTACTCTCCAGAGTGAACTAAGGGGCACTTGAAAATATACTCATATGAACTGGAAAGGCAATCATAACAATACGAGGCGTTCCAGATATAAAGATCTTCGACGCGTGCTCTGTTTAACGAGAAAAAAGAAAAGAAAAGCAGAAAGAGAAAACAATTACATCACATTGTAGGATAACATGGCACAAATCATGTAACACATTGTCAGGGTGAGGTAAGTGGGGGTATGCTACTGGCTAAGAAAGGAAAGATCTTTCACGCTTGTAAGACGAGTGGATGCATGGCATGGCCAGTAATACTTAAAGGGAAACGACGAGGGAACTTGAGTAACTACCGGGAAACTGTCTAACCGTTGCAAAAAGTATATAGAATCAGTCCCTTTTGGAAAGGTTTGTATTTGTCAATACGGAATCAGTAACCGTAGGCAAAGATTCTCATGCGGGCCAGGTGTCACATAGATATTGTTTATTTCTAATCTACAACTCCAAATACAGCACAAGTAATTTCCAAGGGAGTCAGGCAAATGAAAAGAACAAAAACATCTCAGCGGAACCGATCAAGTATGATAGCTTCAGCATGCTTGATATCAAAGTGAATTTCTGAGAAATTGGCAACATAAGGACAGCATGCTTTGCACAGTGATTTTCATTTACTGGTACGCGCTCCAGCACTGACACTTTTGGCTTTTGTTGCAGGTAGTCGTGAAATTAAAAAAAAAGCGCCAATATCAAGGAAGAATTATGCGGCTTGAAAGACTAACCATTAACTGTTCAGAACTTCATTTTTTAAAGGTCTTTAAAAGCTATTCAGTATTTAACCTGCATCTATTTGTATTTTATTTTTGTCGGTGCAGACGAGACCTTTGGTAATCTGGTACATCTCGCTAAAAAAGGTTGAAAACCACTGGCTTAGCTCACCCTCGATGCTCTACCGTTGGCGCGTTGTTCTCGCGGTTGACGGCAATCACGCTAAAGCCAACGAAATCGGTAGGGATCGCTCGAGCTCAGACCGTTCGCGCGCCCACTTCCCAATGTCCTCGCTATTTCCAATCGTTCCTCCTGGCTCCAGCAGGCAGGAAAGCAGAGCCCTACTCCAACACAGCACTTCGGCCCACTCCGTTCGAGTGGTCTGCGAAACGGGAACTGCCTGGTGGCAGTGGCGAAGTCTGGAGCACTCTCACCTCCCTCACTCTTTGGAAATTTTGAGTTGAGCTTATCTAGCGTTTCTCACGTCAGTCCACGTCATGAGCATCTCGGAAGTGGCTGGATGACTGGAAGGATGTCACCAAAAAAGTAACAAAATCCTTGGGAGGGGGGTTTGACCCTCAATCCTTGAGACATACATCGCGGAAACACCAGATACAGAAAGTATTTCGCTCCCTCATAGTCGCCATATGTATACGTTGTAGATGGCATTGAGGAATGAGAAGAGGATGAGAAATAAAATTAGAGGGTGGACCGAAGAAAATACTTGGGAGATGTATGACACCTCAAAGTCCAGTTTCTGGAGCGTGAGCGTGTCTCTAATGACATCTCTCTACAGTGCATTTATTCAGCACTTCTCTGGTTTCAACAGATTTAAGATCCGTAACATAGTTACTATACAGTTGCATGAAGATTACAAGGCTAGCGCTTGAAAAGAAACTGCTGTGCTGCGATGCCAGCTCGATGCATGCAAGCCAACCAGTCTTGAACGTATTAAATCAGCACGGGATGCGTCCCAACTAGGAGGGAAATTTTGACGCATAGAGTATTGTTGCTCGCAACATGCCTCGAATGACAAGTAAGGAAAAAGCTTTTACAGTTGAGTGGGCTTCATGTTCGAAGGTGAAACTCTACAGCTTGGCCACTTTGATGTGAAAGTTCTGAAGCAGCGCTTCCATCACGCGTTTGGCAAAGAACCGTCACGTGATCTGGCCATCTCACATTTGCTGAGGATATTCGAGAAGCATGCTAATGTTAAGACCTTGGGTTCTCCAGAGTTCCCTGAATTCAAAACCGCTGCGACATGCTTGAACACTGAATAAACAATGTCTCACATGAGTCGAAATCTTTAACTTGGCAACTTGCCTATCGAACCGGAACATCCAGCCTGTCCTGCCGATGAATTATGCAGGAACGACTGGAGCTGTTCCCTTACAAGGTCTCCGTGCGCCAGGAACTGATCAAAGTGCATCAGCAACGAGTTCTCCTTTCGGAACAACCTTCACGGGGGAAAGTTCTATGTGGTCGAGAGTTTTTTGGATGTCTTGTGGTCAGGTGAATGCCACCTTCCACTTTCTTCTTCCCGGTCGCGTCTGCAGGAAAGACGCTGTCTTCTTGGGCAAGACTGGCAAGAATCGAAGGTCTGAGGTCTAGACCTTGAGACTGTCACTAAGCCGTGGACAAGATCCTAACAAGATGGAAGCAAAGCCATGAATGTTGCCTCACCACGTTTGAAAGAGTCCTGCTAAGTACACTTTCCAAGCGCTCCGATACGCTTGAAAAGTGGAATAATTTTGCTATAGAGATGCTAATGGGCCTTTCCATAGTGTCAGACGTGACATCCAGAGTAATACATTTGATACGCAAAATTTATTTAACAATGACGAATTAACATAAGAAGACTGCCTTTTTCAGAAGAGTGCTTTTCAGTCACTGCCTTAGGCAGTGACTGAAAACTCCCTTAGGCAAAGTCTTGCACCCCCTCTTTCGCTAGAGGTTTATCTGCAAGCGACAAGATGTAACACTCGTGACCGGCGCTTTCGTCGCGGCCCAAATGGTCGCAAGCCCACTTCTTCGCAGGTACACGGCGAGGCATTAGCTTGCAGGTAAGGGTGAAAGCAAGGTGAAAAATTCCCAGGAAGGAACGCGGGGTACTGGAATTCCTGATTCCTATCAGCTGAGGAGGGAATATGTCTGCCGTTTTCGGTGGTTTTTTTTTTACGCTGCACCGTTCAAATGCAAATTTGAGTTTCCATGAGGATATCACTAGAATGGGTCAAATTATCTTCTTAATCTTTTTTTTTTTTTTACCTGTGGACCAATTTTGGAACAGTGTGGATCTGCGTGGACCCCTTTCACAGTCGCGTAAATTGGTAAGCTTAGAAAATTAGTGCCAGTAATTTTGCTGAAAGAATGGCAAAAGTTGGCCGAAAGCTTTATACTCCTTTCTGAGTTAAAATTTTTCATTTTTGGTCAGGACATGGTTTCCCGGATCACCTGAAGCCTTCGGCCGCGAACCCGCGGCTGAGAGACGTCCATCTACAGGGATAGAAAATGCACCAGGAAGAGTAACTGTAGAGAGACAAAGGGACAATGAGATAGGATATCTATGTGAACTACCGAGCCGTGAAGGTAGTAGGGTGTGGCATGCACAAAAGAGCGACTCGCAATGCTGATTTATGGCTTCTTTTCTAATTCACGAGCTGCAACTGACGAGAGGTGCAGTTTAGAGCTCTCATCTAGGGAGTCCGCTAGTGCCTTGCTTGGGTTCAGACGTTATCATATGATATCCCTCGTGACAAGGGAAGTGTGACGATGTTTGTACTTTGACCAAAGATGCTTGCGACTTCACATCTGCGACCATTATGGCCACGACGAAAGCGCCGGTAACCGTGACACTTCATGATACTTAGGGTATGCTAATGCTCTAATGGTCACATTTCTGTGATGTATGGGAACATATCAATTTAGTAGTATGTTCATTCCGTATATGAAAAGAAAGCAAGGCATTTTTGCGACGTCAGATGTGACCAGAAAGTGGCAAATATGGCATGTTCTGAAAGTTTATTTAAAAATGGAAAGTCTGTACAGGGTGGCGCAAAAGTCGTGCACCAAAGATGATTTCACAGTTTCACTATATTAATTCTTGTTTCTTCACTTGCAAGTAACTGCTGGCAGCAAAATTAACAAAAGACGATAGGGTGGAGTTAAGATATGTTCCAACGTTATGTTTACAACGAATCGAAGTGTTTTCAAGTTAATGGCAAACGATTCGAACATTTTTTCTAATTAACCCAATGGTGCGCGACTTTTGCGCCACCCTGTATATACAGGGTGGGGCAAAAAAAGTTCCACATATTTAAATCTGCTGTTAAATTTTTGCTAATTAAATTAGGTGCTTGCAGTATATGGCATTGCCTAGAATGGCCAAACGAGTATCAAACGCACTTTGTTTTGTGAAAACAAGTTCATAAATGTTTGCAGTGACTATTTTACGGTGAGAGGTGAAAAATAGCCGCTGCGCAAACCCGACGCTCTCTCACTGTTCGAATGTTAACATGTGGAACTTTCTTTATGAGCACCTTATGCTCTAACTTCATCGCAACTGAAAATGGCCTTCAAACAGCCCCGACTGGAATTCTGTGGATTACAGCGTGAGGTTCATTGCAGAAGATGGTGTATTGCCCGAAAATCCAGAATGTCCAGTGCGCGAATCATCGCTTGCCGGGATTACTTGAGTCAGTCAGCAATCAATTGGGCAATCCGGCAGCGGCAGGTTGATTGCTGTAGTAGAAGAAAATGACGGCCACATCGAACATCGCTCTCGCTAATCCAGCATTTTTAGCTGCGTCATATTACTTTGCTCTTTTCAAATGTACCTGTCCGTTACTATTCTTTGTCAAGTGTACCTTTACAATGCTTTTCATGAAAACATGCAACTGAATGAAAATGAGATGAGTTGAATATATATATCTTGATTGGGCAGCGACGGTTTCTCACCTCTCACTGTAAAATTGTCGCTGTGCAAAATGTAAGAACTAATTTTCACAAAAGAAGGTGCCTTCGATTACAATTTAGTCATTCTAATCAATGGCTTAACTGCAGGAACCTAACTTAATTAGCGATAATGTGACAGCGGAATGAAAAAGGTGGAACTTTTTTCTGGCCCACCCTGTATATATATATTTTAACGTTTAGCATAGAATAGCATTCTAGTCGCAACAATTTACATCTCTTCACACCTGAGCTTACTCGAGATCATCATTCAACGTGAGAGAACCCATGTTGGCATCAACTCCAGTAGTCCCAATCAGACTCTCCAGATTTGAATTTCCATCATATAAATGAGAATCACGATAATGGAAATAATGATAAAGATGACTCTCACTTAAGAAAATAAATTCTTTCATTTATGCCTTCAGGGATCATAGAGCAACTTTTGTGCAGAATGCAATGACCACAAATTTAGTGAAACTTCATGCTAAGACCACTTCACGTGGATAGTTACAATTACAATTATTATTTCAATTTTAGCTAACTCTTGAGAAACTGTACAGACCTCCGTTTTTTTGGTCCACCCTGTAGAGTTGTTTCATGGGCAATACTCTGATTCTGGAGGGTGATCAGTCACTATAATGCTACACTTGTGCTGTGCGGGATCAGATGAGGGAATTATCAGCTATGATAAAAAGTGTAGAGATTAGAGATATCTGAGTAGGCATTGGTGACCAGAAGATGGGAGAGCTATCTGACAGGATTCTGTGGGTAAGATGAACTCCAGGGATTTTCCATAAAAAATAATGATTGCAGTGTACCTTGCCTACAACATCAATCTTTCTTTTGTAATGAATGATATAAAGAAAAAAATTGAGAGGAAGCAGCATCCATTTTATTACTTTTGTTGTCAAGAAGTCTGAAATTCAATTGCAGAACTCTGACAAGAAACATCAAGACATAAAATGGCTGTTACTATAACATGGAGCCATTCATTCATTTATTTACAATGATGGTATCATTTCATAGTGCAAATCACATGGGTGATGGGGAGAATGCATAAAGGTACAGATGACTAAATCAGGATCCTTTCACCTGCAGTGTCTATGTCTGGTTGAACCACAGCACAAAAATGAGGAATGACTGGCTTCTGTGACGAGATCCTGATGGTAATGGTGACGGGTTCTTCCCTAGCTGCCCGTACTCAAGAGCTCTGCTAATAAAATAAAAAAAAGCACTCTTCAGAAACTTCTCAGTTGTTCCTGCTAGTCTATGTGGGATTTATATTTCATGAAAAATTTGTGAATAGTACAAATTTCTAGAGAAAAATTTGTCCAAAAACAGGAAGCTCATCCTCATTGCTTAATCTGCAATACTTCCTTCAGCTTCCCTGATAAAAAAAAAACCATGATGTTTTGACTAATGACATCCCACTTCATCTTTCTGAGTAATGCTTGCATGTCTGCTGACATGGATAAATTCGTTCATAAAATTAATGAAACAGACTCCACTGGGAGAGATCATTTTGATGAGTTTAGAGTTATTTCTGAATGTTAAACTAGCCTGGTTGCCATCAGTCATGTCATCTGAGTAACATGAGATGATGGAGATGACCACCTAGGCTTAGCCTGAGTTGGGCAACCCTAAATTCTTACTTATAATGTGATTTTGCCAGTCAAAAGGGCTTTCAACAGAACAGTCACCAAAGTGGTTTATGCTGCTCTAGAATGATTAAAACTGATTTTTGAAACAAACTTTTTTGATGAAAAAGGAATTTCCTAGACTTACTGGATCATGAATGGACAGTGACAGTGATGGATTTAAAATAAAGCAAGTCAGGCATAAGGAAGCTGTTCCATTCTTAGTAATGGCATAGTGATATAATTGCCTTTTTTCATTTACACATTATATTCCATTTGAATCTGAAATAAATAAATTCTGACTACTTGTTTGGTGCTTTACACAATCCTGCCTCAGAGGTTCATAGGAAGTAGGCTTAAAGAGTGCTTTAGGTCTAAGCAGCCATAAATGAATAGACCACCAGCAGGCAAAATGGAGACATTCTGTAAACAAAATAAATGATAATTAGGTCCATAAATGGTAGGCATCAAATCTGGGACAAACAATCTAAAACAGTGAATAGCTCATTTACTTTCTAATTGCTGCAACATTTTATTACTGTATCAAGATTCTTAAAGCATAAAGCCTAGCAAGGGTTCAACAATGCCAGAAGCAGCTCTAGAGATGACTTTAATATCCCTCCCATAAAAAATTGAAAAATCCATAAAATTGTCACCCTCTGACCTATCATTAAAAAGTCATTTTCCCAGCTGATGGACTGACACAAGTACAACCACACTTCTCAGTTCCCAAGGCTTGGAAATACCTGCAGAGAACCGTGTCTTTAAAGAACACCAGAGGACACAAGGGTCCTAAGTGTCAGTAACCCTGTTTCATGATGTCTCCCTTATAATTTTTGATGGAAATGAGATTAAATTCTGATTCGTTTCAAGATATAATAGGAGATGAACCAATCCTTAAAAAGTAACCCTATCTAGATAAAAAAAAAGGCTGACATTCAGTCCTTAAGAAACTGGTCATAAGAGTTACTGAGTTTTCACTTTCATTATATTCAAGTAAAGAGAAGGAATGACTTGAAAGATCAACTAACTTTTCCTCCTCCCCATTCCCTCTTCATCACCAGAAGTGTCGCATTACCAATCTGGGGGCCAAATAGGGGATTCATCTGTGCCATGTATGCACACAACCAACTGAAATGGAATATGATGAGGGCAATTATTCAAATTGCAATAATGTAGCACCATATTGATGTCAGCAACATTTCTGTATCTCACAACAAGTAGCAGCAGGCACCAGTTGTAACCAGGACTGTTTGCACAACCCTGTAAGAGACAGCAGAAGAATGAGCACCACCAATAGTATAAATGTCATGGCTAAAATAACCATGCATACTTGTATTAAATGATCACATGAAAGTATGGAGAGAAGAGCCATAAGAACATGTATCAAGAAGATTCTACCATTGTGACTGGAAACTCTCAATTCTTTTAGGATTACAAGCAACTGAAACTGTGCTTGTCAACACTCAATTGAAATCTGGACATGAGTAGAGTGAACACTAGTAGCTACCTAAAAAAAAAAATACAAACTCTTGAATGATTTAGAACCATTTGGAGTCTTGAGATGACCAAGTAAGCCTCCCATTATTTCTCCAGTATAAAGGCACATGAAATAAAACAATCCTAAAAAATTTGAGCACTCAATGGTATATTATGCCCTAGCTACACAGATATATCCACACATTTCTCTATAAGACATGCTCAAATACCAATTTTCTATTGTGCTGTTTATCATCAGAATAAGCAAGTACTTACCCTCGGTTTGGTCCTTTAGGAACAACAAATGGAAGAACTATTCCTACAACACCCCATATCACACTCATGACAATCATGGGGATTGCACTGGCACCCATTCTGGCAACTAAGTTATGATTTTTCAGGGAGAGAAATTACCTGCAAGAGAAAGTGGAGAATAGAGAGGGCTTATCAACAACCTATTTGACATAAGACAACCAGGGTATCTTTGCTCCATAAGCTGAGACAGGTATCAAATTTCCATATATAAATTGAACCAATTTTTTTATTCAGTTTATTATATGGTAGATGAATTATTCCAGAATTTTAACACTTTCGACCCTGGAAATTTGAGTGCACTATGGGTGTAGGATCTTATATGATGTGTTGAAAGTGCTAAAAAAAATATATATTTCTATAATATTCCAATGTTCTCACAAAAAAAATAAATATTTGTCAGAGGAAACATGTCCTGCTTCCTCTGACACCTTGGCTTGGTACTCGAACTTGAATCTCTTGAACACTTGAACTAGAAAATGCATGAGTGAAACCTTTAGAAATATATGCAATATAAGAGTTTAAATCCCAAGATGAATATGAAGGAATTTGTACTTTGCTCTCATCAGTTACATTGAAATCTGTCTTGAAACTTGATATACAGCATCCAAGACACTGTGAACTTATACAAAGATATATTGACTCAAATGATCACATCATGAGCAATCAACCATCAAGGATATCAATAATATTACAATGGTTAGATGCTCCTACAATCTCATATCTTACATGGTACACATTATGTGCAACTGCTCAATGAACCGAGATGGAGAAGACCACAGTTTGGGAAAAAGCTGAAAACCTATGTTAAGAGAAGATAGACAGCTCAGCCTAGGAAGAGAGATACTTCATTGAGACCCTCAACTATGCCGTACTTGCATGACTCCACGAGTCAAAATACTTTCCCTCAGTTGCGAGAAAAAGAAATACATACGTGGGCCTAAGCCTGGATATATGATAGGAAAGAAACAAACTGTGCGGGCTAGGACAGCGTGTCTAAATTATCCCGTATCTTTGAGAAATTGGTGGCAAAGAAGCGTAACGGCATGTCCGAAAAGCAGGTCTGGCCTAGGCCTACGACAAGCAAGGACTTAATCCGAAAGCAGTGAAGCACATTCGCACCAGCTGAAAATCCTAGCCTGTTTGTTGGCTGGGAACACACAACAACGCATGCAACAGGTACGCACGAAACGGGCGTAGTCACGCGGACGCCCGTGATGTCCCGGCTATGAATTTCGGCAGGTCTCGTGATTGGTGAAGCAATACGCTCTGACGTCATGAAGTATCATGGCGACCCGTATGGCTCGAATGGCGAAGAGCGGCAATACTGTGTTCAATTGAATGTCAAATTGGGTTGGTTAATCAACTTCGCATGGTCACTCAAGTGGCTGCCTGGCCAGATATAACTTAGTCTGCAGCCATCAATGAAGCCTAAGCATAGGCTAACATTAGATCTAATGCTAGGTTTAATGCCAGCCCAAGCAAGGTCACCTGGTCTTTCCTTTACGGGGCTCAACTCCTGTCTATTAAGGAATTTCCATGGGTATGCTATTAGAATTAACTAATACACAGGCGATTCATCCGGAAAACTGACGCCTTTTTGTTTAAAGCATGTTAGGTCAAGGCTTTATTCATGTATTTTTCAATAACGGGAGTGATCAGATGTTTATTTGGGAACGATCAGGACGTTTGTTATGGGGTACCGATGCGCTGCAAAATGTATGAAACTGGGACACATTGAAAAGAACACAACCTTTAAATTTTCCGAAAATATTATAAGCAAATTGTAGCCTAAAACAGCCTGTAATGCTACTTGATGTTGCAAATCACCTCCCTCCTCTTGAAAAAAATTTATAGTTTAGTAGACTTACTTTTTGAACTTGTATCTTCAATTATATCAATTTCCTGCTGTACTGACACATGATAAGTTCTAATAAGGCTCTCCTAGGTTAATAGCACTTCATCCAAAAGAGCATTGAAGTATCTCAACCTCTAGAACTATTAGTTGTCTTGTCAGCAATTGTAAAAATCATGGAAAGGCCCAATAATTCTGCCCATATGAACAGTTTATAACTTACTATAACATTTACATATATACATGTTACTTATTCAACATATATCATTGAACCTATGACTGTATCTAGCTCTCCAGATGTGGAAATATATTTACTATACATGAGGTTTTACGTAAGTCATATACAATTTTAGATGGGCAAAAATGTATGACCCCATACATATTTCATATCTTGCCCATCCCTGAAGGCATACAGGAATATTTGGTGATATGATATCATACAAGAGTTATTTCAGAAGTCATTGGAAGTCAATTTTATAGCATCAATTACATTGTATATGGACACTTATAGATGTGCAAGCTTGAAATTAATCTCAAGAGTTCCATGACTTTCCCCTAATTATGGCAGCCATATTATGTCATCAGGACTTGTTGATGTATTTATGGCTGCCACCACCATATTCACTGTTATGGCCACTGTTGATAGCCCAGAAACAATGTCCATGGAGGAGTTCTTTTAGTTGTAGAATAATTTCAGTCATAAGGGGTTAGATCAGAGTTTGAAGGATGTTCAATGACATGCCAGCTCTATCCTGCAAGGTGCACACCCACAGATTACAAGTGACATATCACATTTTCATGGAGAATGAGTGTGTTGCATGCAATTGTGGATGATGCTGTCAGAGAACCTTTACAAACACTTTATCTTGGAACAGGAATTACCTGTACTAAGTAGCAGTCATGAGAATTCCTATCCAAGAAACTGTCTGGCCTAATGATAGTATCATCCATAATTACAGGCTTTGGGCAAGATTGTTTTCCATGGAAATGCAGCATTCCATTTCATAAGTTTTGTTAGCACACTCCCTTCAGGAAAGCACTGGATGGTCATTGAACATCCTCCAAACTCACCAAATCCTTCTGAGTTTGACTTGATTCCTAGCCAAAAGAACCCCTCTGTGGCTGTTGGTCCTCCACATTCAATCTACTTCCTCATCAATCAACATGCTTGTGGCAGACATCAATAATTGCAGATAGTATATTGCAGTTGCCCCTCTGAAGGAACTTTTCCATGAAACTCTTGGGGCCTAATTTGTTGGGTAAGCTTACATGAATGATGTAACCAGTGCAGTGAAGATCACTTCTTACATAAAAAATGGCATCTTACATACCCCTTAATAAGTTGACTCCACATAATGGAATACCATTGCATGGTCCTGTTTTAGGGTATGGTACAACAGATAGCTTCGGTTATCAGAATACTCAAGATTATAGGATAAGGTTCCCAAAGGTCCCATGAGTATTCTGGTATGTGGAGTCAATTGGATTTTGTATTAATATAAACCTTGGAGTCTACCTTTTGCAAAGTTGTTGATCAATAGGCTCCTTTATGACAAGCTAATTCAATAATAAGGCTGAATTCAGGACAATTAGCTGCCTCCTACAGTGCAAGTGCTGGGAAATTATTTTGTGATTCCAGCTTAGTCAAGATTGTGATTGCATTCATCACTGTTATAAGTAATGTGACAGAAGAAGTGTTGGTAAAGTCTGTCAAAGATGTTGGAGCTAATTCTGTAATGAGAGGCAGAAGGGGAATATCAGGAATTATGAACCAGGGAAGAGCATCTACATGGTGATGAGATCCCTCTAACAATCCTCAACACATATTGAACCCCAGAGGTACACAGTTCACAGTGGTTTGAGACTCTTGCCATATTTGAAAAAATTTGGTGTCAGAAAAACTAATAGGAGCACATTTATGTCATTTCCTAATTGCTACTGAATACAACTTTGTATCCAGTAGCTGTCAACTGTGGAGTGAAACCACTGTGCAGTTCAAATTTGAAATTCTAAACCAAAATGACTCCAATGACAATTGTAGACCTTTAAGTCTAAGATTTGAGGGATATTTTTCCTTGGTAGGAATAATGAGCTTTTCATTAATTGTCTAATGGATTCTTGATTTTTCCTGAATAGATGCTATTGGTCTTTCTCTACATCATATAACAAAGTATCATGTTTCCAATGCTCCTTGACATGCCAGTTGACCAGTGTCATAAGACTCTACGACGTCTGGGTAAGTATTCCTGATCAGTTATTAGTCATTCACAGGCATCCATTTTTAAAATCTTAGAGGACATTATGACTTATAGAATATTATTATGAAGGTGTTCGCCTTTGAGACAGAAACCCCTACTCATTAGTTGATTTGTGAAGGAAACAATTAGCAGTCATGTGGTTAGAAATTGTGATTGTGACTAATGTGACTAGAATGAAAAAAGTTTGCATATCGTGACAGGTTTCAACCTTCATGGTGTATGGCATGGTAGGCTGAGCTTCATCAAGAGATGCATCACCTATAGGAAACAGTCCAAACTAACATGTCAGGAAACAATTATTATTGAGAACACTAAACTAAGCAAGCTATCTCACAGCAAAGGGGGTCTGAACTTGATTTTTGGACCACCCTGTTGGTTCAAGAAAATGGGTAAAAATATAATTTATACATGGGACTAAGGTGAATGGAAGGCCTTAAACAATTTTCCTTCCAAAAAACTTCCATTCTTAAGTAGAGGAATTATCTTTTGGTAATTTTAAAGTTGACTCCTGAGATTCTTTGAAGGTTGCTGCTGTAAGGTGTTTACTTGATTATCCCAGAATAGTAGATCACTATCATTAATGAGGATCAATCCTTCTGAAATTATGCTTTTGGCTTTCTTATATTCTATAACAAACCATATGAGTAACTTTCAGCTTCTTCTTCTGACAGTCATTCTTTGATCCAGTTCTAAACTGGATCAGCAATGTTGTGGCATTACATCTTGTCCATAACCTTCAACAAGGTCCCACCTTGTGACCTTGTTGAAGGCCTTTGAAAATCAAGATATGTTTTTCAGTGTGGTCTACATAACCCAGCAAGGGAACATTGTTTTCCTGCACCAACCTTTCGGAATACTAGATTCTTTTTCAGGACCTGATAAAAATTATACACCAGCACATTGGGACCCCCATTCCATAATATTGGAGTGTAGGATACAAGCAGTGAGAATTATGTGACCTTCCTGTACCTAGTTTTCATTCTTCATGAAAATGAATTGAGTTGATGGGTCAATAGATTCACCGCCAAAGATGTTGATTGATATTTTCACACTGCATGAGTGCCAATGACATTGATGGATGTCTTCATGCCGCCTTCAATATGTCAACTTGAATAGATGGTGCTCAAATGCAGTATTTTTTGTGCAGTAACTTGAAAAAGACTTGGAGCAGAAAAATGGCAGATACAGGGAGAAAGTTGCCATCCAAAACTGACACTGAACTGTGAACAGTATTTCAAATGTAAATCTCCCATCAGTTTCTTGGAATTCTCTGATGTAGTGAGAGATCAGATTTCTTATATCCATAAATTCCATATAATGGCCCCTAGGGCCATTATATGGAATTTAACTAGGGCCTACAGAAGACCCTCCCTATCTGGGAGGAAGTTTTCCATGGAGTCAATATCAAAATAAAATCCAATCTCCCTCCCATTACTAAATTCCACAATTGAATTTTCAGGAACACTTGATTAAGAATTTTCCTTGGCAAGGATCTTCTTATTCTGTTTGCATTCGAAGTACATTTTGGAGAAAAGAACCCAGAATTAAATCAACCGTGAGAGTGATTACTTTACATTTGTGTCAACATGAACTACCTCAGTATTTCATCTTCTTGCTTGATTATTTGCAGAACTGGAGGCTTACAGCAGTGTTGTGTCAGCCCTTCGAGCACAAGGTGCATTCACAAAAAGGAAGAGAAAGATTCTCAGACTGCTTGGGAAGCAGTGTATCATCTCAGTTGAAAGACAGAAGGCAGAAATAAGAAGAGCTGCAAATGATGAAGTGCTTGAAACCATTGCCCACAAGTAAGCTCGGTTTCATTTTATTTTACCCATTCCTTGTTTAATGGAAAGGTATAATATGTTGAAATTAAGCCCTTGGTATTTCTTTTTCTAGTTATGGTAAAACCAAAGTTTCATTAGGAGATTGATCTTCCTTACTTCCTTCTTGAGTTTAGACTTTATTGAGAGAATCTCTATAGAGTGTCAATATTTTGCCTCCTTTTCTTCTAATGCATGGAGTTTTGCAGTTCTAAATCAAGTACAAATTTGTTTTTCATTATGACTCATGCCAGCTTTTTTTTTGCCACGGGGAGGGTGTGCAATCATCAGCAGTCTATGTGCCCTTGATATGTTGAATGGCACCCCCTGACCACCATCTTGTGTGGTACAAGTTGGACAGTAAGGCAACTTACCATGGATGCATTCCTGACAAAATTGGCACACAATATCCCCTTTGCTTAGATGGAATGAATCTCACAATTTGAACCTATTACCTCTTACTGAATTCTGTCTGGAAGATTACACTTTCAAGGCCCATCAAGCCTTACCTCTAACTTATTATAGGTGTGCTCTTTAGATGTTAGGAAAGCATTCTCATGCTTGGCTATGGATGTCTATTATGGGTTAGGTCTGTGTTGGTAGTTGTATGCATGCTATAACTACAGCTATTATGGGTATTGCATTCAAATATCCATGACCAAAAGCAATCCAATGCACACTTTACAATTAACTGATACTGATGGAACACTAGAAACAATTAGCATAATTGCCTTTGGAGACTATTCGGGCACTTAAAAGGTAAGATGTACCTCACATGCACAGCAAAATGGGTAAAGCAACTTTTTTTTCCTGCTGTGAGGGCTTTTGTTCCTGCATGATAGTCATTTTTCCTTCAAAGAGCTCTCTGCCAACAGTGTAACAGGAAGCTAGTTATAGAAGGATTTGCTGTGTAATTGCAAGAGTGTCCAGCAGCTCTGCTTAGATTGTGTCAAATATTATTTTAACACCTTAGTATTCATATCCCTCTCATGCCAGACCCTCCATGTACATACTCATATATGACATGGGCTAGCCATCAGATTGTGATCTGCTTCTGGGTTGATGGGTTTTTGGTTTGGGTCACTTAGGGTCCAGGATGTTGAAAGCAAATATTTTGTTTGGTTTACATTGTGTTACTGTATTTGACTTTTATTCTTTTATTATTGGCCAAAATCTGCCCATATGGGTCACAGTGCCTTGAATAAGTGAGTCTATGTCAAAAAGGTTGGGAATCTCTGATCTATGACCGAATTCCAGGTTTTAATATAACAATGATTTAATTTCTGCAGGATCTATGGGCCAAACACAGGTGAAGCTTGGATAACAGCAGGCCGGAGGTATGTTCCTCTCATACCAAGGCTTATACCAAGGACAAAATGGACAGCACTGGCAGACTATTATGCTGGAAAATATTCAGACACAAATGCAAGCCTCCCAGAACCGAGTCAAACAATGACACCAAAAAGTGAGTTCTTCCATGTTGTAAATGAGTAGCTTGATCACAATGTATTTGATCTTTACTTAATCTATAGACACTTGTGACTTAAGATATTGAGGGATGAAACTTTGTAAATTGAAACCATTTCCTTGAATTGCAAAACAGCATCTATTATGACAAGCCTCTTTGTTGAAAAGTTATTTAGTGCTTCAGCTTTGTGGTGCTAGGATACTTGGTGCAGGAGAAAAATGCACTGCTGTTGGATATTTAAATTTGAAAATTAGTCAAAGCTATAGCTGTGCATGTTCCAACAGGTGTGCATCTACATTTTGTCTCTAGTGAAAAACTTTCAGAATTTTCCTCATGCAGGTTTAGCCATGCACTCTAAAGTTCCAGAATAAAATATTTGGAAATCCTGAGTCCAAGAAGACTCACTGAAATTAATGCATTACAGGACATCCTTATGCTTGGACAACATTGAATCATGGTTTCCATTGAAGAATTGCTCTTTGAATTAAGTCAGCGAATGCTTTTGTCTGGAAAACATGATTCAATACTGCTCAGTCTGCCTTAGACAACACCACAATCAACTGAAGTGATGGAGTAGTAAGTGTGAAAGCAATCAAGCATACTGGCTTTCCTCTCTGAGCAATAAACTAGAAGCTAGTAGGGATCTTGAAATACTTTACTTGTAATTTTCAATGTGCTGTTATGGCCAAACCAGATGGGGTTAAATTCTGAAAAATTTATCTGTGGAAGACAATAAGTGAATATAGCCTGGAATGTAAATAACTATAGCAATGGCCAATACCTCATATAGAGATTGAACAGCAACATGCTTTTTTCTCTCATCTGGTTTCCATTTTGATGGTTCAGGATTGCTTGAACCATAGTGGAGTATGATCTGTATGTGTGGTCACCAAATGTGAAAATGCATACCTCTGTAACTTCAATTTCTGCTTTATGTCATCAGGTTTGACTTCTCTTTCCAATCCCAGGAGTGTCTAAAGAAACTGTGGCCACAGGAACATCAGTTCCTATGGTGGCTGCTGGAACCACTAAGCCTGGAAAATCCCAAGCTCTGGGAAGACAACCAAGAAAGGACATTGTGAAAGAGATTGGGCAAGTCAGGCCTGGTGGAGATGTACAAATAGTTGAATTGGAGGCAATGGAGAAAGGTGAAGAAGTTGAGCTGGAGAGCTTTGATGAGAGCAAAGAGGAGGATGAACAAATTCAGCTTGACTCAGGAGATGAGAGAGATCATGAAGATGGTGAGAAGGAATTGAAGGAAGATCTTGAGGAAGCAGAAGACATGAACCATCCCAGAGCTCAAGATCCTTTGACCAGCACAAAACTGATCTGTCAACCTGCTTCACCACCACTGTCAACCTATGTTGCTGCACAATCACTTGTATGCCCACCAAGTCCAGGTAGCAATGTAACTGTGTGTGGAGATGAAGACAGGACCACAAAAGGAGCCATACCAATTCCTGATTGGACTGAGATACATCGTGGTGAGAGTCAGAAGAGGAAGAGGCATGTCACTTTCAATCTCCCTCCAGAGAAATACTCCAAGGTGATTTGTTAGCTTGACTATACAGTATATTATTAATTATATTTCTATTGAATCAGACATGAAGTAGGGCCCAGTTTAGGTCTTCTCGTGATCTTTCATCTTGACATAATTTTTCTAATGGTGAAATCCATTATTTTGTATTTTAATAAAGGCCAGATTCAGTGTGACAAATCTGGAAAGGCTTTGCAAGGACCATATGGGTACAAAAGTTTAGAAAGACTCTCTTCTCCATTTGACCCATGTTGTGGTGAAATTTGTTGAAAAGTCTTGAACATTTTCCAATATGTACTCAATTTCATTCAAGAGTACCAGTTTGATGTTGAGTTCTTATAATCTTCCTGTTCTTACCTCATTGTTCTTATCTTCTTGAAGGTGGAGGCAGCTTCAAAGGCAGCAAGACCCACATCTATACCTATTTCTTCTCACTCAGCTCACAAGCTTCAGAAAACAGCAGTCCTGACATCCACTGGTCAGAAGGTGGGAGAATGACAGGATAGAATTGAATGTGCAGTTTTTATGGGAGACTTAAAAATGTTTGCAATTCTTAACTGAGTTTCATATAGGCATCTGCTTTGTATAATAACTCATTGATTTTATTGGCTGAATTGTGAGCAACAGAGAATGATAAGCCAAAGGGAGTATGGGTGAATTTGATGATTGCCAGTTATGCAGCAACTCAAGGTTCATTAGTTCAACAGGATTTCACATTTTGCTCCACAGGCTGTACTGGTTCCCAGTAAATCCCGTGGAGATCGCCAAGGCACTGGCAGAACCAAACCTGAAGAATCTCATACACCACCAAATTGTGAGGATCTCCTAGAGTGTAGACTTATTTAAGCTTCACTAAGTGAATCTCATAGCATGCTTACTATATAAAATATTTACTGAAAAAAAAGGCAAGCTAGATTTCTATGTAGATTTCTGTTTTTTAGGTATAGAACAAAATAATAATCATGTGGGATAATTGTCCAAAAGTAATGAAATGTGATTTATGCACAAAAGTATAATAATCATTTGCATATCTGCATAAGACAATTAAATAAGATAAGATAATTAAATTACAAAAGAAACACCTACATAAATTCAGGAGAATTCCATGGCAACTGGTGGGATAATGGTAGCTGAACTATTTCAAGAAGAAATGTGCTGTAATTAAGCACTAAGAGGAAACCCCAAATGAAAAACTCTTGATCTCCAACTTCATTGAGTTGCAAGATGTGACACTTTAAAATTTTGGTGCTCAGGACAGATGACCCCTCAGGGTATTTTCATTTACAGTCAACTCTGCATAATGGAATACTCCAGATTATAGAGTAAAGTTCCATGGTCCCATGAGTATTCCAATGTGCAGATTTAACTGTATTTCAGAGTAATTCAGTTTGAAAGGTGAATTGTAGCTCATAGCCAAGGCTTAAAAATATATATTAATATTCTGGTTTGTGCCAAAAGTAACTGGTCTTCAAAAACTGAATGATTTTAATTTTTTCTTAAGGCAATTTTTGAAAATGTCATTAATCAATTGACTTCTTGTAAATAGCATTGAAGCAAAACTACAGTATAAATTTCAGTCAAGAGAGTTCTTCCTGAGGTCAGTTAATGCTTTTTCCATTGACTACAAAGGTAGAATAATGCTTGGCATACTTAACACTTTCACCACCAAGTTTTGAACAGCACAGCACCTGCCCCATGCTGGACTTTTATCATCACTTCAGTCCCTTGAGAACACTAGTTTTTTTTGGGTCAAATTAGGATTTCATTTTATTCCTAAAATGTATTACAAAGAATACAGTTTAGTAACTGGGTAATATCTTAGCATATCTGATGGGAATATTTCTGGTCAGTTGGAAAACGAGTATACTCTGGCCCAGTGGTGAAAGGGTTAATGTCCTCAGCGAGCTTTTACTTCAATTTTTCACTTGTCAGGCTTTGCATAAAATTGTTATCTCCCAGATGAAGACATATCACTGTGGGGTAATAAATTTTAATTTTTTTTAATGGCACAGTGATAGCCTTTGCTCTTTGCCATTTAATATGGCTGCTCCTATTAAACAGATGGGGCTCAGAGTCATATGTTAGAGTTACTTATTAATTGTCAAAAAACATTTGCGAGAAAGGCAAAGATGTTTGCTAATCTCTTCATGCATGCTCTTCTTGATTTTTTCCTCTGATACAGTAAAATTGTGACTGTAGTGACTGTATGATTAAAAATATGACTGATGTTTGACTGTCCCATTCCTAGATGTATTATTCCATGCTGAATTATGTACCTACCTCTTGTTACTTGCTCTTCCAGCTCATCTCTGGCATTGCATAGTTGCAAATAATTCATTGAGGAATGGAATATGGGCATCTAGCTTCTTGGAAGTCATTTCAGTTTTGTCGAACTATGCCACATAATGCATTCTACAGTATATAGTCTGGCCTGAAAAATATTCATTGGATTTTCTTTTACTTAGTTTAGGGCTTCAAATTATTCATGTCATAGCTTCAGTGATGCTCCTGGGCAATGTTCCTTCATATCTAATCTTCCTGACTGTCATAAGAACCATTATGCTGAGACTCCAGGACCTAAGTGCTGTTGCACTGCTATATTACAAGGATTAGAGGTTAACACGTTGGCGACAATGCGTCCTGATGCCAGGATGGAGATTTTTTTTCAATGAATACCCTCTGGAACTCTTGAGAACGTTCCAGAAGATTATGATTTCGTAATTACTGATAAAAATTCCAAAAAATTCAACATTTTAAAAAAACTCGGCAAAAAAAAATGTTTTCTGGGACCATGCGTCCTGATGGCAGGACGCATTTTTTGACAAANAAAGTGTTAAGTATGCCAAGCATTATTCTACCTTTGTAGTCAATGGAAAAAGCATTAACTGACCTCAGGCGGCGGACAAGCAAAAATAGGCTGGTCGTCAACGTGTAAAAGAAAATAAATTGATTTGAGGGAGGAAATTTTCAAGAAAAACAACGTGACAGCATCACAAGGGGTTCTTCTAAAGATAATGTTTTTCTTACAAATGGTCTTCTTGAGATCACATTGAATTGGGAGGATTCTGAGTGCAGGAGTACTCAGAATCTTCCTGAATTGAAAGAGGAGTGTTTAAAGTAATCCTTCCTTTTGATGAAAAAAGGGAGTACAACAGAGCAGGGTGTGCCGATCCCTCCCCCTCCTCCACCTGAACCAGAGATGGTAGCCATCCCTCAAGCCCGAGTTTATACTGGCCCTTCTGCAGTACGCCGAAGTACACCTTCCAGAACTGCCTCAGGTTTGTGGCTAGTTTTGAAAACCTCATTGATTTTCATTCCAAATGAGTTTTTCAAAGGACTGATTGCAACTACCTCATGGTTTTTGCAGTGAAATTCATGACAGGTCCTCAGGTTCGGATGCCTTCTGTGACCAAGGCTATTACAAGAGTGACAGGTGCAGGTGGGTCCTCAGAATTTTCATAGGTATCATCTGCTGGTATGTGAGATGCACCTTGTTAGTGTAAGACATGCATTTGGTTTATCTGATAATTCTAGATTCCAGTTGTGGCTTGAAATCCAAGGTTCCAACGATAATCAACTTTACACCCCGGACAGTTCAGCCATTGAAGGTGGTATCCACTGCACCTGCTGGTAGAGCACAGCCACTCAACAAAACTAATGTCATCTTGGTGCAGAAGACTGGTGCAAGAGCAAAACCTGTGAGCTTGAACATAGATTATGGCACCATGTTTATTATATGAAATGCTAAAGAATAGGGAAAGAGATCATAGCTATAAAGGGAGGAGGTAAGAATATATGAGTGGCAGCCAAAAAGTTTCAAGACAAGTTTGAGCCTTTGATGTACTTATTGCTGAAAGATAAGAGGTCTCTGCTTGCATATCTTGCTTAGTCAAGAATAACTCTTCAACAATACGATTTTGACAGCTCTGCAAGAAAGTTTCTCTTACTAGCAATGAACAAAACTTCAGCATTTAGAGCGTAATGCAACTTTTATGTCAAGCTGAAAAAGGTCCAATAAAGACTCTGGGATAGATTTTCTAGAAAACTAGAACAAGTAATATATAGAATATATTGACATGGACTTAAGGTATGTAAGTAAAGAGTGACTATTGCCAACAATTGCTAGAGAAACATGGTTTCTTTTCATAAATAAAGGATCTCAAGATGTTATTTGGAGGAAATAATATTTTCCAAGGAAAAGATTATGCTGCATAAAGAGTTTTTGCATCCCGAGGTGCAAATTGTGGGAATGAATCTATATTTTTGCTTTTGAATTTATACTGCAGTATAGTGTATACTGTAGGACTGCAGTTACCATTTGTTGAGCCCTGTCTGACTTCATCATTAGCAGAAATGATATTATGTGAAACTAACCCATGTAACATCTACAGGCAGATCAATTTGGGGAATGAACAAGTCATGGAAGTATAGCAGTCTTGTGATGTAATGGCAAGGTTGTATTTTGGGAGAGAGGGTTTTGTTTTTTCATTTGATGTGCAGTACTTCTGCCTTAGGGGTGATATAATACCAGAACTGTGTTACAATTATCAGCTCTCTGCATTGTTTGATGTGGATTTTTTGTTTGAAGGAGCATGCTGTAGGAAATGTGATTGGGAGACCTGGGGCACGCAGTGTGGCATCATCAATGTCTTTGGTTAATTCCATGGGCTCATCACCCTCCGTCCCCTCTGGTGCAGCTCCTCCCATTTCCACTACTTCAAGTAATGTGATTGTACTAGACTTGACTCAAGAGAATGTGAAGAACAATCCCTTCCTTGCTGATATTCTCCAGTCTTCTCTATCTGGCATGAAATCAGAAAATGATGAGACAGCAATTTCAACAAGCTCTGGTTAGAAACCAAGTCATCATTACAGAATGCAGATTTAACTCACATTACAATGAAAGCACTCTCATCAGGCTTGTATGAAAATTTGCTACCTATTGCTGTTTTAGGTCACCTTGTGGCATCCACCTCTACAGTGGAGGAAATTCCTGTCATCACTGGAACTTCCACATCTACTGACCTGAGTGAATGCCATTGGTCGTTCTATCCCAATTCATCCAATGGTGAAATGAGAACTTGACCATCTTGAGTTGCTTTGCTGATATTTTTTTCCATGACAGATGGTTACACCTTGAGTTGCTGAGCTCTTTGCCACTTCTTTCATCCATAAATTTCAACACTTGAATTTTTTACATTTGGTTTTGGGTCTGAGCTTATCCATCAGAAAGTGGGGTGTCTTTTGCAGGCAATAACTCAACTTTTGGAACTCTTCCTTGGATCAAAATAATTTTGGTGGTATTTCAAAGATGAGATGATGTTTGCCCAAGATTTTGGGTGTGTTTTCTCCATCTTGGAAAAGAAATCCTTGTGCAAGAAAATTAATTATTCACAAATTTGATGAATTTTAGTTGTCCAATATTTGAGAGTAGTTTGACACTGAGTGAGAATCAAGTACGCATGCATCCACAGTGCTTCCTTACTGAGATTCTCACTCAAATTACTTTGATCAGAAAATCCAATAAAGTAATGTCGTTTTATTCTAGTGTGGTTAGTAAAATGTTTATTTCACATGTATTTTTGAAATTAAAAACCTATAAAGTCATTGTTTATATAACCAATTGGGGTTCTTTTTTTAGGGCTTCTGATTTCATCTTGCTTCTTTTTCAAGATGTGAATCCTAAAATATCCCATGAAACTAGTCTAATTAGAATGCTATTTCCCTCGCATGAAACTTTGCACAGTTATCACATGGTTTCAAATCCTGTCTTGACATTTTTTAGTTTTCTTCATGTCTTTCAATACCTTGTTAATGAGTTCTCATCTTGAGCATGGAAAAGTGAGGGCAAGTTTCCCATGAGTTTCAGTCTGAACTAGTCTGAACAAGTCTGATTCAGTTGTTCAGCCTTCTTTCAATGACCATTGAGAACAGTTTTAGGGTATGTGGTAGGTTGGTTGAAAGATTGGAGAAAAGCATCACATGCAGTGCTGCCAAATATGGCATCACATGAATCTAGCTAGTAACCCACTCTGCTGCCACATACTGCATCTTTCTCCATTTGTCAACAATGGAGCCATCAGCTATATAGTCTGGAGGAGAACTGGCAGGAAATAATGACACCTATATCTAGGCTAAGTAATGCATGTGCACCTTGAGATTGTGCTCAGGAGGGGCTAACAGTAGCTCTTGTCTTTCCTGCTGTAAACAAATGTCAAAATTTGAAGTAAAGTTCTGCTTTTGGTAAAAATATTCTCTAAAAAAGCAGTACTGACATAGTACCAAACTCAAAAGGAAATCATGTATGATGATATACCCCAAAGATGGTTTGGTCCAGAAATTCTACTTCAACAATGCCTTATAGAGCATAGATACCTGTACCTATTCCAGTCAAAATTTTTTCATTTCTCCCATGGATGAAAAAAAGGAAGGCCATTCATGTCATGTTACTGACATAACACAGTTTAGAAAGCAGTTTTTGTTCTGCTGCTTCCCTTCCAATTTTGTCTGATTTGGTTTGACCTGAAGCATCCATATTTTCAGAAAAGAGGTAAGACCATCACCTTTCTTCCTGCCAAAATACTTTTTTGTTGTTCAAAAATTAATTGGCTAGGAGAGTGTTCCAATGGTACTGACATAACATTAGTCAAAAAGCAAGATTCACCTAGCAAGCATTAAAGTCATTCTAATGGAATGGTGCAGGAGTAATGAAAAACCATCCCACTTCAGGTGATGAATGTTTAATGGAGCTTATATGGTGCAAGTTTAGTACCCATACAATGCAGGAAACACAAGTTGGATGACAGTTTTGTAAATCAATTTTGTACCACTTTCATCCCAATTACTCTGGAGCTGCCCGAAGCAAACTTAGCCTTTGTCTTACCCAAATCTACCTGCATACCAATTTTCACAGTGATAAGGTCAATATTTTGGGGGTTATTTCAGACAATCAATGTTTAGCTTCATTGGCTTCAACCTTGGGGAACTTTCCCATCTCCTTCAGAAAAGCGATTTTTCATTAGTCTTAACTTACATCAATGAACTTCCCTAAGCACCAGTTCCCATGATAGAAAATGCTGTTGCATTTTTCAGGTTCAATCAAGATTTTTATAGATTCTGTCTCTTCCCTTGTCATTGTGTGCCAAAATGTTGCACTCTAATGGGTTTACACAACTCCTTCTAGCAATTGAAAGCTTGTTATATAGTCAGATTGTTGAAGATGAAAAATGGCTGTGTTCAATTTTCGCATTAGCTGAGCTTATTTCCATTTGAAATCTGATCATGAGTCTGAGAAAAATCCTAAGGTTAACTTACTTGGCTGTCATTGCAGGAGGTGGGAGTTACTAAATGAGAGTTTTGAAGTTCCATAGAACATATGGACCCCAATGGACTTGCACTTTTATGATCAGTGAGAAGGCACATTAAATTGTTCTGATATGTATTTTCCTTGTGCTGTTGTAGCTGAGTAACCATATAAAATACACATAGGTGGCAAGTTTACTAATGGCTTCTGCCATCTTGTCAAAATTCATGAAAACAGGGAATTTATGGTGATATTGTTCCCTCAGCATACTTGTGCTTAACCTGTTGATTAACCCTTCAAGCCATTTTCACGAATGCTGTACGTGCACCACTTGGGAGGTCAAGTCAAAACTCAGTGTTTGAAGGGTTAATTTTGGATATTCAAATATACTCCTTGAAATGACTGGATCCATCACCAATGACCTGCCTGGAAAGTCAATCTGACAAGTGAGAAGCTCTACTCAGATGTGAGCATTTGAGCATCTAAGATAATTAACCTGAGGTTAATGATCTTAAATGCTCTAAATGTAGGGTACATTCTGTATCTTATCTTTGAAACATCATCTTTACCCATGCAATATTTTTTAAGGTATGTTATGCTGAAGTCATCCCTCTTTCTCAGAAAATTAAACTTCACTTCAACCTGAAAATAATATATCAATGAAAAATACTCCAAAATTTCACATTGCCTGCTGAAGACTATACTTATCTGAGGAAATAATAAAAAGGAAGTATAAAAGATGGTCAAATATATTTTTTTCATTGGATGAAATGGGGATGGAATGACTCCATTGTTCTTTTATTCATTAACTCTCTCATGCACATGAGCCCCAATTCATCCACCAATGCATGGAAGCCTTTTCTAATAATGGCATGCAGCATTTCTACAATCTGGTTAACATATTGCAGGAGCATCAAAAGTTGTGCATTTGCCTCCATTACAACAGGTATTATGAAGATTTTGTTCATTACCCAGAATAAATTAATGCATTAGAGATTCCTTAATGGCATCTGCCTCATGAATTTCCCAGCCACACAGAAACTTTGTTCTATCTCTGTAATTGGACTGCAATTGGACTTCTCCTTTTTTCTCATGGTCAATATCTTCTTTACAGTGCTGCTTTATTTTTATCCCCATATATTCTGGACTTTTCCTATAATTTGAATATTTTTTAGGAGTGTCTGCCCAATACAAATTTTTTAATGATCATTGCACTTAACATAGAACACAGAAAGATGTTGCTAATTTGCTTGCCAATACTGATACATATGTACTCCTCTTGTTTTGGCTGGATGTTGTAGCTCATGAAACGCAGGTGATAGAACTGTCTTCTTCAGCACAGACCATCCCCTTGGGAAGTCAAGCCATCCCCATTAGTAAGTTGTTTGTATTGTATCTTATGGTCTCATAATATTTGCTTTATTAATACTGACCAATAAGGAATACATTTACAATAATTTTTATGTTAAGTTAATTGAAGTCTTAGGCATACCAAGTTTCTTGAGAGAGGGAGGGGGGCAAGAAAAGAAAAGGTCTTGACTCTGCCCTAACCACCCCCACTCTTCACAGTCTGGCCCTGTTGAAGCTTTGGGAGGAGGGGTTTTGCTAAATGAGCAAAGGAATATTTTCAGGAAGTGTCTAATTTTTGTGAGGGAGGCAATACCAACCTTTCGCTTCTCATGTTTGTTTTTGAGGGGGGGGGGAAGGGGAAGCTGCTGCCCCCTATTTGTGCATCAATGCTTGTGCCAAAATGCCTTTATTTTTTGTCAGTGTATGATTGCTTTATCAATAATTCTATTCATGTTTTTTTTTTTTAAAGACAAAGCATGATGGACTAATTTTGGTTCCAGTTTTTGATAATGTCGACTAGTTGTAAATTGCACTAAAAAGCCTGTAAATTTTACTCATGCCTTTTCTTTTTAAGTGCTGCTTGAAGTGAAAAGAAATATCTGCAAAAATCTCTGACAGAATGCTGACTGTTGAGTTTTGAGGAAGTTCGATTTGTCATTGCACAAAACTGTCTACTTGCTCATGACTTGAAGTGGTTATAATTCAACTCTGCATGCACTTGTTACTAAGGCATGTTGGAGGCTGTGATAGAAGCCATGAGTAAAGGAAATGCCATCCCAGAAGGATCAACTGCTGAGGTTCTCACTCCTGTCACAGACATTGAAGGTGAATCTACTCAAGGTAAGAATTCTTTTTGACATTTTCTTGCTTTTCCATTGCATCCAGTGATTCTCCTTTCCTCAGATAATTTCTGCCTTTTTTTGTTTTTCAATTTTTAGGTTTGAAAATTTTGACTATACCTGTCAGTGAGGGGATGTCATGGTCAAGTGACAGCAGCTCTCCCATCATAATGGACCCAAAAACTGTGGTCAAGATAGTGGCTGAGAATCAAGGCAAGGGTTTGACACCTTCTATAGGTCCACCTTTTGGTATGCAGTATCTTAAAAAGCCAACTGATGGCAGAAGCTTGAGAGCATGTTACTGAAACATGTCTTGGGGACTTGTCTTAATAAGGCACTCCTAGGATTGTAGGTGGGCAACAAAACAGAGCCTCTTCAATCAAACCTCCACCATTGAAATTCTGTGTGGTGACCCCTATCAAGCCTGTCACTGTCACCATTCCAAAGAATGACAACTCTCCCTGTCCCTCAAACCATTCCTCCCCATCCTCAATCACTGTTGTAAACCAGCATGGTAGAACATTCCCTTCTGGCTCCAGCATGAATCTCTCAACTTCTGTTGAACCTCCTCACAAGCGAAATACATCATCTGTCATCCTTGGTCCAAATGCCCTCCATGCATCTGCCCCTGTTTTTGGTCCCCAAAATTGCAGAGCTGCCTCTTTGAACTTTTCAATGCAAGTTCCATCTCCCTCCCCATAAGCCCAAGTCCTCCTTACTGGAAAATTCTCCCCTTCTGTCTTTCTTGGTGCAGTTGATGCATCCTTGCTTATGTCTCATACTTCCAGGTTCCCCCCAGTTTTGGTTAAGCAGGCTGGCAAGACTTATGGCTCAAGTAAATGTGCATCCACTCTAAACCAGTGTAGTGGCTTGGGCAAATCCTATTCAATCCTGAAAGTACTGAATGACATTGGCACTCCCTCCTCCTCCATTCTCAACCAACAGAGCATCTCTGGCCAATCCCATTCCCCCACAAACAAACAGCATGGCCACACCCAATCTTCTATCCAGAAATCACAGAGTGGAGCTACCATACCCCCAAATTGCATCCATCAAATCCATCCATCAAACTAGAGTGGTTGTCTCAATTGCTCTTCTGTTTTGATTCCTAAAATCAACAATGGCACATTGGTACTTATTCTAGAAACTGAAAGTGGATATGTTCCAATTCTTTTACCCAAGAATGACCAAAATTCATCTCCCTACATTATCCAGGGTATCAGTGCTGAAACTTCCCATGTAATCACACTGAGTAGCCAGTAGTCTTCTGCTATTTTGGTGTGAATCAAGAAAAATGTGCCTTTGAGCAGAAGGCTTCTGCCAGAAAGACTCCCATAACCTCTCAAAAGAATGTAATCCTGTTGGTAAAAGAATGGTAATGTAATCTCTCAGATAATGTACCACTTCAAATACTCAAATCCTTCTTGTGGTTATGGTGTAATAAAGAAAAGAAGTCATTGTATTCAACCTTAATAGCAATTCATGATGCTTCCTCTATGACTTACCCCAATAACTTTCATCATTTCCCAGATCATAAATTGAGTTTTTGTTACTTTAATTCAAGAGACCAGCTCTCTGTTCCTCCTGCCACTCCTCCTGCCTCCTGCCCATGCGCCAGCTTATAGTGTCCTTTCAGCTTCGATAATAGAACTCTTTTTTCCTGGTGTCCATCTCCGTATAAATGCTCACCATATAGCCAATGCATTGATTGAAGGGACTTTTCCATATTGCAATTTTATTCAGAACTTTAAACTGGTTGTGATGAATGTGTTTTTCTTTTCATACCTAGGCCAAATTTGAGGAGAAAATCTGTGATCATGAAGAACTGAAATCTTGCATTTTCGTCATTGACGTCAAGTTCAGCAAATGAGTTCCGTTCCCCCTTCTTTCAGATTCCTTTGTTCAACGAAAGCATTATTGTTGCATAATATTGTCTGCTGCAATATTTCATGGGAATAAATTCAATAGAGGTTTGAAGTGAATTCTCAGAGGTTTCTTTTTTTCCCATCGCGGAACATTAGTTTCTTTTTTACTTTGTTACAAATGGCATCCGTTTTGAGCAGTGTGTCCTTATTCCAGCATATCTAATCTAGAGTTACGTAAATAGAAGACCCTCCCATCCTGGAGAGCAGCTGTTCCCTTCTCAAGGACATGCGAATGAATTTTCTTGTCACACTGATGCACTTAGTTTGATGGTACAATGAAGCCAATACTTTTCTGCTTCATCTCCTCTCTAGCTGTGAGTGAAGCTCAAGTTTCATTTCCTTATGTTCTGATAAATGCAACGTTCTGACAAAATGAAAATATCCTGAGGAAAGTCATAATTGGACTGCATAAACGTCATAAAGTCATAAAGAAAGTCGATAGTCATAAAGGTCACGCAAAAAGAAAAACTATCTTCCCGCGTCAGAATAGGCCGAGAACTCTTCCTCATGAAGAAAGGGATGAAGAAACGTTGAGGTAATGATAAGGATTGATGAGACTGACTGGAGGAAAGGGTAGTGATTAGAAAAGAGGGCAAGAAACTCTCGATGTGAGCCATCCGTCTTACACAATTCCAGGTCGTTGGAGGTAAGTTTTTGTCCTGTTTTATTCCGTGTCTTACGTTAGCAAGTCCCGGCTGCGGGAGCTAGTGAAATTGTTTGTATGAGACTACGAATAACGGGCGTTCGGAATAAAAGGAGAATTATAAAATAAGCCATATGGAATTTCTGGCGAGACCAATTTCTCTTGAACAAGTTAAAGGGAGGGGCCGGATTACAGACGTTCGGATAAATGACAGTTTACTGTGGGTAGAGTTCTGCAATTGAGTTACTTTGGTTTCGTTGCAAATAAATTCAGCCTCGCTCTCAAATTTCTGTCTCCTTCGTCTATGCAGGAATGATTCTGAATGCTGTCAATGGTCAGCGTTGGTTCCCATACTTTCAAAGTGTAACCTAGCATTAGATTTATGTTTTTAAGGTGCAGCTAGGCCCATAAGTAGACGCTCCTCTTCCAAAGAAGCGATTGAATACACTGCCATTATAAACATAGGTTTTCCCGACGAATTTCGGCAAAAGTCCATTCGAATTCGACAGCGGCCGTGTCAATTTCGGCAGCGCTCCTGTCTCCTCCCGATTTTCCCATTCAATTTCGGCAGGTAACTTTCGATTTCGTATTCGCCGTTTTGTCGGATTCAAGAAAGGCGACTTGGCCGGCAGGAACATGAACGTTAGGAAAGTCATCTAGAACCGAGGCTCGTTTTTGGGGTCTAGCATCATCTAAGATGACAAACTGGAACCGAATATTCGAAATCGGCTGCTCCTTGCCCTCCATGCTCCTTTCCATGCGTGGAATCATCTTTTACTGCAAAGGAACAACAGGAACGCATCACATCGCTGACGTTCCGGGAATTCCTTGAGGAGCTCCTGAGGCATGTCCACATGATTCACCCACCAGATGAACCAGCTCATGTCATCACGGATAATGCTAGACCCTACAAACGAGCCTCGGTCCCAGATGACGTTCCCTTACGTTCGCGTGAAGTTTCTGCCGGCATTTTCTCCTTTCTTGAATCCGACAGAACATGCCCATTTAACAGATCATGCTGCATTTAAGGCAGCTGTCCAACGTGAGGTGTATCTTCCTGAAACACAGGTAGAACTTGGACGACGAAGACCAAAACAAAACTTGCAGCAAAGTCGGACAGAGAAACTGCTTGAGATAGGAGAGGCATCAGTTGGGCTAATAGTGCTTTGCGTGGTTTTGCTATGCACAAACATACTTGATCAGATGCCAAAAGAAGAGAGCATATCGATAGATAGAATCAGTGTCAATGTCCACATGTTTTCTTTGCATAGTAAAATAATGATCATTCGCCCAAAATACCCTATGCGTTTGTGCCCTTTCTTTCCCTATTCCTCATTCCTGTTAATTACCAGAAACACTATATTCCCTTGCGCCTGCCGAAATTGAATGGGATAACCGGGAGGAGAGAGGAGCACTGCCGAATTTGAATGGACTTTTGCCGAAATTCGTCGGGAAAACCTATATTTTCCAAGCGTCCACATTCTTCATTCTCACTTCGCGCCAATTGGTCACGTTAGGTTGGGCACCGCGACCGGTTTGCCCCCAAGGTCAAGGAAATGGGAATCAAAGTCCGATCATACAAGTTCAACCTATGATGTAGGGTTTGCCACCATTCTTCTTTCTCCCGTTTCACTTTGCTTCCTAATGCAACCATTCGAGTCCGCCTCTTCTCTTTGTTCGAGACTCGGGCTGGTTCCTTATTATTTTCATGCTCTGGCTAATATACAGTTCCAAAAAATTTTTTCAAGCATTCACACCGGCTTCTTGAGCTGGTGTATTTTCCCTTTATTTTCCCTTTCATTGTTTCGGATTCCATTCCTCGAACGTAACTTCGGACTCCGTATCATTAGGAAGTTCTTTTTTTTATGTTCTTCGGTGAAACAAAGCATGAAAAGTTTCTCTCTCGTCTCGGCAGAGCCTTGAAGGAATGAGGAATGGATGAATGTGTCCTTCCCACCGAGGCTTTTCGAGCAGTCGCGTTTTATTTTGACCATCTTCCCAGAAAGGAAAGACATATATCCATTATGTATCCTGTCCACAAGCGTGCTTCCCACTTTCTTCGTCAGATTTTATAGTGCCAGAGCCGATTAGAACGACGTTACGAATTTCATTGAAATTGCCAGTGTCGAAGACCTGACGATAAAAAGGTTAAGAAATGTTTTTAGTCCGAGCTTCGATCGTGTTCCTTCTCGATTTGTAGACCTTTTAGAGCAGTGATGAGCAACCCGCGGCCCGCGGGGCTGTGCCGACTAGATTTGAATTTTTTTTTTCTTATCATCTGCCATCCGGTGCACGTGCACTCAAGGATTCAGTTGCCCACTGCAGGAGAAACGGAAGCAAGAAATAAAACATAAAAGCTATATTTCCGCCGCAGCTGCAAATATCCCTTCACTCTTCTCGGTCAGTGTATCACTGCTCTTTGAGTAAGTGGCTTGCTTGGTATTTTGTGACCTATGAAAAAATTCCCCCCCCCCCTTCACAGCTAAGGATATAGAGTGAATAGATAGTTTCGCGTGCATACTTAGGAAGGTTTTCATCTTTCGGTTTCCTCTTTTTTTTTATTCTGCGCCATTTTTAAGAGTAGCAGGTCCTAAACCTCAGGCATGGCTTCAGAAAAAAAGGCGCAAAGTTGGAGATGAATGCCGCAATTTCAACGATAGGTGGACCACAGAGTATTTCTTCGCCAGCGTTAAAACCCCTTCACAGCTAAGGTAGGGACGGATATATAGAGTGAATAGATAGTTTCGTGTGCATACTTAGGAAGGTTTTCATCTTTCGGTTTCCTCTTTTTTTTTTATTCTGTGCCATTTTTAAGAGTAGCAGGTCCTAAACCTCAGGCATGGCTTCAGAATAAAAGGCGCAAAGTTGGAGATGAATGCCGCAATTTCAACGATAGGTGGACCACAGGGTATTTCTTCGCCAGCGTTAAAGGAGCGGCAGTATGCCTAATTTGCAATGAATCTGTGGCTGTTCTTAAAGAATATCATGTTAAAAGACATCATGAAGCGAAGCATGCCTCAAGATACGACACTCTCCAGGGCCAGATGCGGAAAGACAAGGTGCACGAATTTGAAAAACGTCTGGCAAGCCAACAAAACCTTTTCAAGAAAGCTACTTCTGAGGCAGACATTACGGCACGTGCTAGCTACGTGCTCGTACTTCATCCCCAAAATCCTGGCAAAAGGCATTTAGTGATGGCGAGATGGTGAAGGAATGCCTGCAGGGTGTGGCTGATGTTGCATTTCTTGAGAAGAAGGCTATTATTTCAAAAATAAGCCTGTCGAGGTTTACTGAGGGCAGGAGGGTGGATGATATGTCGAAGAACATTGAAGATACCCTGAAACGCAGGGCTGCAACTTTTAAGTGGATTTCTTTGGCACCGGATGTGTCTGATGCAGCTCAACTGGTTTTGCGTTCGTTCGAGGCATTCGTGCCGAATTTAGCATAACAGAGGAGCTGGCAGGTATGGTGGCAATGATGGGCACAACAACTAGTGCAGATTCGTATGAAGAGCTGAAGAAAGTGCTGGGGCGATTGGGACCGTCGATGGAAATATTGAGTAAGATTGCAACCGATGGAGCTCCATCGATGGTTGGCGAGAACAGCGGCTTGACAACTCTTATATCCCAAGAAGCTAAGGCTCTGGCTGGTCGTGATTTCATTCCATGCCACCGTTGCATCAAGAGCACTTGTGTGCAAAATCTTCGAGGATGGCAAATGTTGTTGCAGTCATTGTGAAGCTGATTAATTTCATCAGATCTAAGGGGCTGAATCATCGCCGATTCAGAGAGCTACTTAGTGATTTGGAGTCTGATTATGGAGACGTGCTTTATCATACTGAAGTGCGATGGCTAAGCCGGGGCAAGATGCTCGAGCGAATTTATGATTTGAAGGAAGAAATTGAGCTCTTTTTAGATTTTGCTTTTTTGATCGACATCACCTCAACGAACTC